AGGGGCCAACCCAGATTATGACGGGTCCTTGTAGGGAGAAGAGGATGCCGACCAGCTTAATAGGTAGCAATGTCCAGAAAGTTCTGTAGACAAAGCCGATGGACGTGCGTGCCTGTTATGCAAGAGTGACGGTCGAGCTTTCCGGAATAGACTAGTACCTTAGCTTTGTCGCTGTGCGTAACCCCAATCCTTGGCCTTGCTGTGCTGTGCTGTGGCTGTCGGTTTCAGGTTGACTTCACGTCGCAGATGTTTGGTCGCACCGTAAGAAGTATGCTTATCTCTAGTGCTTTGCAAAGGAGAGCCTGTAGTTTTGAACAATGTGTTTACATTCACGCTTCTATTCTGGTTGTGAAGAACAAGAAGTTTCAGGAGGCCCATGACCAACTTTTGCCCTGTTTGCCAGCCCACCCCTTCGTGTGTGACGATCGGCGCAAAAACAGGCACCCGAAAGTGCCCGCTGGGCGCTGCGGCCGCTGCCATCGAAGTTGCGAGTTTCCTTGCAACGATCGTACAGTGACGCATTTTTACCAACGATTGGAACAGAGACCCACCCTCCAACCAAAAGTACAACCTGTTCTGGCGCTCGTTTAGGCATGCTTCACCCAGGCCCATGCGCCCATAATTGTGATCGTTCTGGCAAGTGCTTGCCGAAGGGAACAAAGTCGTCGAACCCATGTTCGACAGCACATCAACATGTACCTGATACCTCTCTTTGCCGGTGGATTGGCAAGACATACTATTTGCGCACGTTTCTGCGAGTCTACCGATCGAATCACAAATCTGCCGATGCATCTCTAAATCATTCATACCTCGCTTGTGTTCAACACTTCTCGGCATGGACGAACTTTAAATAAAACGTTGCATGTCATAACGAACCCCCACGTGAAAGGCTGGAACAAAAACGATTCGAGGCAGTCAACATAGCGACTATGAAACTGTTCGAAAACTCGGGAGCGCCATATCAGAAAGAGGCGAAAGCGCCAGAGAAGCCAGAGCGACCTGAAAGGAAACTGGGTATATCGGAGGCAGAAAGCAGAGGCTCGAGAGCAAAGAAGAACAGAGGACAGAAACCAGATGCCAAGTAAAAGGGTCGGTCAGGGTATGTTGGCTCTATGAGGCTCTAAAACAGGACAACACCGCGCTCTAATATACCTCCCTCATCATATGCCTCAACAAGAGGCCAAAACAGGTTGCTGTCATTTCGTCGTAAAGAATCCGGGATCTCAAGCGAGCTGTTCGCGAGAGACTGGTAGGCGATACACTCCTGCGCGCCTCGTAATCGACGCGTATGCATAGTGCTGTTTGGTGTGAATGACCGGTTGCCAAAAATGGATAAGCAACCAAGCATATTATGTGGCTTGCTCTGCTCTCTGAGCCAAAACCTCTCTGGCATAGAATTCAACCAGTGTGGTTCCGTACGCTTCGATTTCTTCAACAGGGACGGATAGTCGGAAGTCGTTCAAGAGTAAAAATTGCAACTCAAGATGATTGAGCTCAGGAAGAGGGAGGCCACCAACCTNTTGAGAAATGTTAGCGCAAGATTGAGAGCATTTCAGGACAGAACGAACCTTAGCATAACGCGAATTTGTGTAGAAGATGTCGGAAAAGAATTTGCTGGCGCACGTCACACCTGCAATAACCAAGCGATGAATGTTGAAGCTGTCAACAACAAAGAGATGTGAAAGGTCGAGAGTATCTGCATCCAGAGCAGATGCCGCAGGAGAGTCGGGCTGACGAGCCTTGCTATGGGGAGTACCAGGTACGGCTCCTTGGTTCTGTGTTTCAAGCTCGCCAGATAACGGAGGTGTTGCTGTTTGTGCGTAGCCATGGCTCGCAGGTGCCACACCCTCGGTGAATTGTGTAGAAGTAGGACTCTTGAGTTCTTGCTCAGAAGCTATAGCGCGTTCATGTCTATCCATCTCTCGTAGGTTTTGCATGGCGCCGGCGTTCACTTTTTCCATCATGCGATCGAAGTAGACTAACAGGCTGAGAAAGACCTCGTAGCTCGTAGGACAGTATTTGTTGATGCGAAGAAGGTAGCTCAGAATCGTGATGCTAGGCACGTTCTTTCCGTGAAAAGCCAGTACACTGTTCGATTGCATTCGGTTCGAGGACGAGCCGCCCTCTGGTGGGGTCATCTGGTGGTGCAGATGCTGGTGTTGTCTATCGTTTGTAGCTGTGATTTTGGTCAAGAGACCAGCGACCATTTCGATGATGTTTTCAATGGGCATGCCGCTGATTTCGTATTGCGGGCCCTGATCACCAACTTTGTTGCCATCTTCCGCAAAGGGATGCATTTCGTTGTCTGCCATGGTCTGAATGTGTTTCAGATCGCGGACCTTGATGCGCTGAGGTGAGGACGTCGTTTCTCGTGTAGAATCGGTTTGAGTTGGCGACGAGTCGGGAGATGATTCGGGGACAGCGGCAGGGCGCGAGGAAGGGATGTTTGCGACATTAAGAGGAGTCCGCTGGCCTGCAGCAGGTTGTAGAGCGGGTGAGGCGGGGAGCTGTCTTGTTGACGAAGGAGCCGGCGATTCGGCTGCCGTTTGTGAAGCATGCGAGCTGCTTGCCCGTCGGCTTTCAGTTGCTGACATGTTGGTTTGCGACGGACGGGAGTGTGGTGCAAATGCAGTCCGGGCTAGATCTGGAGTGTGCCGTGGAGATAGTGGCGGAAACAGCAGCGTGGAGGAGTGAGGTGTAAAAGCGTCGATTGCTATCGAGCCCCGAATCTACAGACCCTCCGTATTCTGTTCAATCATGCGTTAGTCGCGCGGCAGAAATGGGGTGGTGTGGGTTGCCGCGATGCGCGTGCTGAAAGTCGTGAGAGGTTGGGGATAACAAAGCTCAGCGACCAACAAAACGGCCAAGACAGGCTCGGAAGAACAGGGCAAACAGAGCGAGATGCAAGAGCATTCGCAACTCTGCTCTGTATACAGCAAGCAGGTGCGACAATGGTAGAACGTTCTGGACATGGCGACCGGCCATCAAGCGAGTGTCTTGTCACCAACTCGTCGCAGCCTCGACGTCACACGGCGATTGAACGCTGCGGTGCTGTATACACGCATGGAGAGACCGTGTCAGGCTGAAGGGGAGGGAAAGCAGATGCTACTTACACATACAAGGCATCTTTCTTTGCGCAATGATCAGATGCACCAGAATGCGTGGAGGAAGTCTGTCTCTGGACGCAGAGAGGTCGGGCAATGGAATCAACAGAAAACAGAAGGAGCCTGAGTACAAGACGAAGGGGCCCTTGGGCCAAGGGACCGGGCTCCCGTCGTTGACGCCGGCCGCCATTTAAGCTTCCGCGCATTCGACTCACCCTGATTTGCGTCGAGACCGAGCATTACTCGCGCCGTCTTACGTCCGCACGTGGGCTGGCTGTCATGTAGAGCACGCACAAGTGTTCAATTCATCCATGAGACATGATTTCGTGTCATCTATCTGGTGCTTCTTGTCCTTCTCGCGTTCCGTCAATGCTGCTTGACACCTTGGTATGCTTTGGAGCGACATGTTGGAAAGAGATGGGTGAGAAGCCAAATGCACGCTAGCATCTAGCTGCCCGGACCACTTGCTCCGCTGCGTACAAGCTGCGGCATCACAAGCAAGAAGCGTCGCTGTATGGCTGACCTTCGCTGCAACCCTCTCACTTGGTACCAGGACCGGTGTAGCCATTGTCGGGCAAGTAGAGGTGTCTCACAGCACCTTTCGCGGTGAGGACGACCATGCGGATCACACCGCCTGAGCTTCCATCCCACTTGATAGCCTCCCTCAGAGATCCCTTGACGAAATCGATACCCTCCTCCTCGGTCATGCCCTCCTTCCAGTTGGCGTCGCAGTAGCCGTAGATGTAAGTCGAACCAGAGCCAGCGATTGCGTAAGACTGCTTGTGAAGAGAACCGCCCAACGGTATTGAGTAGACTTGGCCACCATGTCTGCGATCCCATCCTGCAATAATGATTCCAGCACTNNGCGCACATGATCAGCCTCGAGTCGACACGGCAGCCCTACGCCTCTCTTAGATTGTGCCCGACTTGCAAACATACCTCAGCATATCCTTGTTGTCATAGCACAGCTCTTGGAAGATGGCGGCGGCGGTTTGTGTGGTAGGTGGCTCGTTGTTGTTGATGCCGTACATGTTCAGGTGGTATTGGACAATGTCGGCAACTGCTTGGGTGTCTGCGGCGGAACCGGATCTGCAACACCAAATGGTGTCGTGAACCTGGGTGAGCTTGTCGGTGACGCGGTTGGCGATGTAGGCGCCGGTAGTAGTTCTGCTGTCTGCGCCGAGGATGACTCCATCCTTAAAGTTGATGGCCATGCTGGAGACGGTTCAGTATGGTGAGGGGCGTGCGCTTGGAGGTGATTTGACGTACATGGAAGTTCCGAGGCNTGTTTGTCTTGTGTTAGCCTTTCGTCAAGCTCTATGTTAAGCTCTGTGCAGCACTCACTTGACCTCGCCCTTCTTGAGGTGGTTCATGTCGATGTGGATGCCATNCTGGATGTGTATAAGCTCGTGGCACAGCTATTCTTCGGAGGCAATCCTACCCTCGCCGAGCATGCCCGTTGCTTGTCCGATCATCATGTGTGTGTTGTGGATGTGCGGGATGAGATGGCGGATTCGCTCAAAGTTATGCAGATGAAAGAGCGCGTGTGTATTGTTGAAAGTGAGATGCAAGTCGGATGTTGCGAACAGCTCCAGGCAAACCATCAATGATGCACGCCAGTCGGCCGCCAGAGCGCCAAGCTTCCGGCGTCACCAACCCACCACCAATCACCTTTCCCCTGAGCAGCTCTCCGATGCACAAGGTATATGCGCAGTCTCTCGTTTTGTTCCTTCGCGCCTGCCTATGTCAACTCCCCGTCGCTTCCCCAAATACCTTCCACGCAGTTTCAAATTCAACTTCGACTCCCTCTTAGCTAAACCTGATGTTCCTCGACGGCCTTCTCTAAACACTCGAACCACATCACAATCCCGCCGTTTCTCAGAAGCATCTGGGGACATGGCTACTCTGCTATGGGGTTACCTTCGTATACCCTTCATATTCGCTTCTGGCTTGGGCATGGTACTTAGTAGCGGCCTTTTCTACTACCAGAAGTATGTCTTCTGTTTTCGTTTGACTTCTGCTTCTGACTCGACCNNGAGTGAACTCATCTATCCTCGGAACATCCCCGCGAATGCTCGTACCGACGTCCCAAGGCCATCGCAGCTAGGTCTTGATGCCGAAGAACTCACTCTACCTACACCAGATGGTGAGACTCTAAGTGCCTTTCTCGTCAAGCCAGGGAACGCCAGTAAGGCAAAGAATGTGACTCTCCTGATGTTTCATGGAAATGCAGGAAATATTGGCCACCGACTTCCCATCGCTAAGATCTTGGCGAATGAAATGTATTGTAATGTCTTGATGCTTCAGTATCGAGGCTACGGCCTGTCCACCGGCAACCCGAACGAAAAGGGCATCGCGATCGACTCGCAGACTGGACTTGACTACATCCGAAGTCGAGATGATCTCAAGAGGACCAAGATCATCATTTACGGCCAAAGCCTGGGAGGTGCTGTCAGCATTGGGCTTGCTGTCAAAAACAAGGACCAGGGTGATATCGCTGGCCTGATTCTCGAGAACACCTTTTTGAGCATCAAGAAAATGATTCCAAGGTAAAAATTCCAGCATCGATTGTGTCGAGGAGCCAACTGACAATCGNNTAGTGTGATTCCTGCAGCCAAGTACTTGACACCGCTTTGTCATCAAGTCTGGCCAAGCGAAGAAATGCTTCCTCAGCTCACCAACATTCCCATCTTGTTCTTGAGCGGGCTCCAGGATGAGATAGTACCGTATGTGTCAATACCCTAGCCCTCAGGCTGCGGTGTTAATTAATGATAGNNGCCATCGCACATGAAACGACTCTTCGACATTTGTCGCTCAGAGCTCAAGATCTGGAAGGAGTTCCCCTACGGCGATCATAACAACACAGTTACAGAGGCTGGATACTTTCACTACATCCAGGATTTCATCGACCAGTATATCGTTTCATGACGCGGCCTTGTGGTTGAGTGCCGTTGAACATTTTTGCGCGAGCCAGTCGTGCGTTGAGTTTTGGATTGCAGTGTGGCAGAGTCGCTATCGATCCTTAGACTCATCCTCTACACAGAACATTATTAATAGTCAGCCGCCTTCAAGTTCCTCAGAGTCTTCGTCAGCTCGTACATGGATGGAAGACGTCAGTATAGCCGGATGAAGAATCACAACAGAAATTCTTTCTCCATTGGAGCAACTACGAATATATAGGCATTCAAAGGCACGCAACCCAGCAAATGCATCATAATCATGGTAAGTTTCACAGTATACATGGGCCAACACCTCTTTTGGTGGAAATGAGGAGAGGAGAGAAAGTATTTCTTTGTCTTGTTGCGATTATCCGATGGCCAAGCAAGGCAACAGGCAGCAAGAGTACCAACGTATCATCCCTGCATATCTCCTTCGTACCCAGTAACGTCTCTACAGCTAATGGAGGACCAAACAGTACTTGGCCAGGACATCAGAAAATGTTTTCTTCATGATGATTTAATGATGTAGTTCCAAAAAGCATGGTACTTATGAGGTCAGGGAAGCTGCTTAGAAGAGCGAGTGAAAATGAAATCATTTCTATACGTTTTGTTACATGAGTGGGAGGTCGATCTCGCTTGAATGCCTGTCATGTGTCAATACCAGGTAATGTAAGGCTTGAAATCAAACGACTTCTGAACCAGATTTCTCACAACGTCGGTCCAAAAGATGGCGTGAGTCGCTGGTCGTCGTACAGCACATGTATCAATTGCTTACAAAACACGACTTCATGTGATATGCTCTTGCAGGTCAAGTCTCTGGGCGACCCAAAACAGACAATGCTACTAGATTCCCTCGGGCCCACACGGACGGGCCCGGAATGCGGAGGAAGGTAAAGACACCCTCACTGATGATCTCTGATCATGGTCTTTGGTGTGCTGAATGGGCTAGCTCTAGCTCTTCAAGTGCGAGTTCCATCTTCAAGGCAAGGTTGAAGAAGGAATCTCATCTTGAAAAGGCACAGATGCAAAGATTGAACTCTGGTGGCTTGCTTCGATCACCAGCGAGCCGTGGGTCTCAAAACCAATCGGAGAAGGAGCAATTGATCCTCCATCCCCGGTCAAGAGATTTGCCCCCTTTGTTCGAGACAACAAACGACGCAGGGATGCATCAATCACAACGAACGTAGAAATCCAAGCTTGGCGGACAATTGGGCGCGGTGGAAATCAAAACCCGATATCCGCCTGGTAGCAACACGGCCGGGTGTCAGCTTTGGAGATTCGCTGTCGATATGCGCTAGCACAATGCCGTTATACTTGCACCCTTGGTAAGGTTGAGGCGTTTTCCAATCCAGCAGGCAGCCATCTCTGCGTCGTCTGTCCGTGTTTGGCCGTCGGTGAGTTTGGTTCGGTGACTCCGTTTGCTTTCAGCCGCAGGTATCTGTACTAAAGTTTGCTGTAGAAAAGAGCTTGCATTCCTCTTCTCTCAGTAACCCGTTGCAACTTGTCCTACCTCGCCATAAATCAAACAAAACACCCATTGGTATCGAGAAAATTCTCCAGCCAAACCCTCGACATGGGTTTCTTCGACAGAAAAAGCAAGGACTCCAGCCGTCCAGAATCGGTGGAAGCCACCTCCCCTGGTGTGCTTGACCCTTCAGAAAAGCTCGACGAGGCACAGATTCGTTCTGCGTCTGTCGTCTCTGGCGATGAGAAGCCAGTAGCTGGAGTCGACTCCGACGCGACGCAAAACGATGAAGATACCGACATTGTATATCCTGGTGGTTTCAAGCTCACCCTGATCACTATCGCTCTGTGCTTGGCGGTGTTCTGTATAGCTCTGGACAACACTATCATCGCAACCGCCATCCCGAAAATCACCGATCACTTCAAGGCAATTGACGACATTGCATGGTACGGATCCGCATACCTTCTTACAACTTGTTCTTTCCAGCTGTTCTTCGGCAAGCTCTACTCATTCTTGAGTTTGAAATGGGTCTTCCTTGTGGCACTCTTCATCTTTGAGCTTGGCTCTTTCATCTGCGGTATTGCTCCGACTTCAACAGCCCTCATTGTTGGACGTGCCATCGCTGGAGTTGGCTCAGCTGGACTGTTCTCAGGAGCCATCTTGATCATTGCAAACTCCGTNCCCCTGCGATCAAGACCATCATACACTGGTCTCATTGGTGCCATGTACGGTCTTGCCAGTGTGGCAGGTCCGTTGATGGGTGGTGCTTTCACCGATCACCTTACTTGGAGATGGTGCTTTTACATCAACCTGCCTTTCGGAGCCGTCACCATGATCTTCATCTTCTTCTTCTTCAACCCTACAAGGAGCGCGAAGAAGCTCTCTCTTGGCTGGAAGAACCGCATCATGGACTTTGATCCCGCTGGCACCGTCGTCTTTTTGCCCATGATCATTTGTCTCTTGTTGGCACTCCAGTGGGGTGGTAGCCAATATCCTTGGAAGGATGGCCGCATCATTGCTCTCTTTGTGGTGTTTGGCGTGCTCTGTGCCATCTTCATCGCCATCCAATTCTACGTCGGAGAAAAGGCCACCATCCCACCTCGCATCCTCAAGCAGCGCACTGTTGCTGCAAGTGCATGGTTCGGTATCTGTCTGGGTGCTGCCTTCTTCTTATTCGTATACTACCTTCCCATCTGGTTCCAAGCAATCAAGGGTGTCTCGGCCACAAAGTCTGGCATCATGTCTCTGCCTTTGATCCTCGGAGTTGTCATTTGTTCAGTGGTCGCCGGAGGCCTGGTAACAACCTTTGGCTACTACACACCCTTCATGATCGCCTCTTCAGTGCTCATGGCTATTGGGGCCGGCCTCCTCACCACCTTCAAGATCAACACCGGCCACGCAGAATGGATCGGCTACCAAGCCCTCTTCGGCATCGGTGTCGGCCTCGGCATGCAGCAAATCCTCATCGCCGTCCAAACCGTGCTGCCCGCCGCCGACATCCCCACCGGCACCGCCATCGTCATGTTCTTCCAAACACTCGGCGGCGCCCTCTTCATCTCCGTCGGCCAAAACGTGTTTACCAATAAGCTTGTCTCAGGGCTCAAGGCTGCTGTTCCAGACTTGAATCCTGCCATTGTGCTGCAGACCGGTGCTACCGAGCTCAAGAATGCCATTGATGAAAAGTACCGCACTGGTGTGTTGCAAGCTTACAACGACGCCTTGACGAATTCATACTATGTCGCTGTTGCGCTTGCCACGCTGTCCATTGTGGGTTCATTGGCTGTGGAGTGGAAGTCAGTCAAGGGCAAGAAGATTGAAGTCATGGCAGCATAGAAACAAGAACACGATGAACAACACGATATAATTGGCGTTTTTATGGCTTGGGTCTTGAGGATAAGCAGGTTTGGAGACAAGGGACAAACAGGCATACAGCAATGCACAGCCACCTCTCTACATGTACGATAGCACTTAGAACGTAATACACAAAGTTAATATCTTCTGCACCTCCTTCCCTCGCTTCTGAAATAATTCGTGAAATCGGGTGCCATGACAGCCGAATCTGACGAGTCAATCTAAAGCAGCGATCGAGCAGCGAATACGAGAAAGAACAATACAAAGAACCGCAGTACAAACAGCAAGAAGGCGAGGGAATTACACACACCAGAAGCCAGGAAAAGCCAAAAAAACAAAACCATGTATACAAGATATCTGCCACAGGGCAAAGAGAAAAAAAGAGTTCCACATCAAGTGTATTTCCGATCTAGATACCCATACTTTTGACCAACAGCCACAAAGCGACAGGCACGACAACATTGTCGTTGGCCCCCGTAAGCACAGCTTCCATGAACGAAGCGCCGCAGCCACAAACAAACATCTTGACAGCCTCTATACCCCAAAAGCCCATGTATACAGGCAACAGAGAAGAAGTAGTGGTACCAGGAACTTGATACACTTCAGGCCAACCTCCAAACCTCACCCACGCCTTGGCGAGCAACAATCCAATGGTAACGGCAACAGCAAAAGCGCCACTGCCCTCGAGACTCTTGCCGCCTATCCAAGGCCACTTGCAGCGACCAAAGCGTCTACCGATCAGACTTGCTGCTGCATCGCCCATGCCCACGCAAATGACTCCCGCCACCATTGCCACTTCGCGGGTTTCGTTCTCGGTTTCCCAACCAGGCCAGCGGCCAGATTTTGTCCTGCCGATGCCAGCAAGAGAGAGCCACAAAGGAATAGCACAGCCGATGAGAAGGAAAACGTGGCTGACGACCATAGGACCGCGCAAGTCTCTGCCGTCGACATATGGCGCGACAAATCTGCCAATGGCAATGCCCAGCGGAGGAACTTGGCCGGCGCGGATGATTTCCAGGATCAAGAAGATGGCGAGGACAAGTCCGAGGGCTAGAGAGCAAAAGCAAGGGTCTACAAAGATGGACGGCAAGAGCATGGTAACCATGACCGCGTGAAAGACTTTTCGCCTTGTGTCCACTTCGATGAAGGGAGTCAGACGCAAGACTGCAATCAAACCGACACAGAGGACAGCGGCCCAATATGCAACGATGAGAAGCCGTGTATTGGCTGCACCCACCGCGGCTCTCACACCAGGAACGGAAGATCCATGCAACGACAGGTTTTGCAAAATCTCATCTTTGTAAGCGATGCGATCGACCCTGGATGAGAAAGCATTGAAGAATGTGGGAATGTCTGGGAAGAGATACTCAAAAGCCCAGATGATAGGCTCTGCTGAATTTATAGCAGCATCTGAAATCGTTCTGCGTACCGGGACCAGAATGACAAAGGCAATGGTCGTAAAGATGTAAATGGCATATGCCCATTTATACATGAACGCACCTTCAGGCGTCAAGTTCAGGTGCCAATCGCGCAGTCGACGATGTCTGCGTTGAGCAGCTGCACTTGGAGTGTTGTCAAGCAATGAAGTGGGAACATCCATACTGGCGATGGTGTGTCTCCTTTTCCTAGAGAAGTCATTCGCATCCACAACCGAATCTCTATGAGGTGGTGGATTTGCTTCAGCTGCTGATTTTGGTTCGTAAAAGTCGTGGTCAGCCAAGATGGTGCTGATACTGATACCAAGTTTGTGGGTCTTGCGAGATTGAGACTGGATTTTTTGGAGTGGAACATCCTCATCGGCATCGCTGTCATCGTTCTGATAGCGCGTGAAGGGATAAACCCATTTCGTAAGGCGGGAAAGAAGATCGTTCTTTGCATAAGGCGACCGACCGGATTTGGAGGCGGTTCGTCGAAATCTCCATCTAGGGACACGCGCAAGAGCTACATTCCAGCGTGCGACATGAGTACATAGTACGAGACTCCAGACGCCTCCGATCCATAGGAGAGCACGCAGAATAACAGTCTGGGGCGAGGTTGCGAAAAGGAGAAGATTAATTAGTCCAGCCGATAGAAGATGCTTCTCAGCCGCCAAGAGACTGGTTGTGGTTAGATAGTGTAGCGGGGGCAACAAAGCCTGATGGAGAGGATATAGCAGAGTAAGGAGCTCAGGCTGCAAGAAGGGAGGCTGGCTTGCCTTGAGCTTGTACGGTGAAGGAGGATATGCCGAAGAGGGCAGCTCGGTGTTCTCGGAGAAGATGAGCGGAGTGATGGAAACAATCCAATGGAGCGTGTTGATGTCCTTGAGACGAGATAGAGGCGGAAAGAGACGTGGCGGTAGGGAAGCCAGGCCCAGGATTAGGTTCGGTAATAGTAGAGCAGGGTATTGGGGGAGCAAAGAAAGGGCGATCAGGACGGGAACAAAGGTAGGATACAGTATCGAGGCAGGATCGAAAGAGGCGGGCACTCGGAAGCGGCGCCACCTGGGACGGGTTGTGTCGTCGGAGGGAGAGAAGATTACAACCCTCACAGGGTATACGGCAATCAGGAGGGCAACGATGGCCAATTGAGAGGCGACCTCNNTACTGCAAAGCATCAGTGGCTGCCTTGACGAGTTCAAAACTGCTAGATTACCTCGATGCCAGTTCCAGAGAGCATGTGTCACCGAGGGAGCAAGTGTGATGATCAGCCCAATGACAGCAAGCAGAGCGCCCTCAGAGATGCGACGGATGCGTTCGGCTCTCCTCCTCTTTTCAAACAGCCGTCGGGCGAGCAGCAGCTCATCTTCTTCTGCATGTTCTGTTGGCGTCTGCGCCGGTTTGTGATCAAAGTAGCCCTCGGATAAGCGGCGGCCTTGGTTGTCGAGTTGCGAGGGGGTGAGCAGTGGGGTCGGCGAACCATCTTCCTGTCGCAGTCCTTTGGCAGGCCGTAAAGAAGGCGGTGGAAGGGCCTTCAAGTATTGGGACGGTCGCTCATCGTCGGCCTCGGTGCCGCTCTCGCTCGACAGGTTGGTTGGAGTGTGGTAGTTGCTGCTCTCTTCGGGTTTGGCAGCTCGGCGGCCACGGCGGGCATAGGGGTGTGGTGAGCGCTCTCGTTCATCGCCGGCGGTGCGCATTCTGTGTCATTTGTTGAATCATCTTACATCCATCGTGTCAACTGGAAGGAACGACCTCACCGTTTGATCCTCAAGGCCACGAATGCCATCGGGACCGTGACGCACGCTTCACTTGGCGTCACCCTTCCCGAAAGCTGCCTACATCCTGAACATTTAAATCCGAACCATCGACGATTGGCGCAACCGTCGTCCTTATCTTGAGCAGAGATATAGTCATGTACATTTTCTACTTGATCCTTACATGTATACCATGCAATATTACATATTTACCAAGTCCTAGATCGCTCACAGGTACTTGTTGGCCTTGAGCCATGCCTCTACGTCCTCAGCATCTCTCTTCAACCATCCCTCCTTGGCTCTGATTGCATCAAAGCTCTGTGCCAGGCTCTGGTCGAAGCCCTTAGTGCTACGCTCCTTGAAGAATGCATCAATCTCCTGGATCTGCTTCTCGCTGGTGAAGCTGCTGGTGCAGAGGCTGACAACACTGCCGAGCATGCTGAGACCAGGAGGAAGCTTCTTGTAGATAGTGTCCCAGTTGGCCTTGACCCACTCCCACAGTGCGATGATTCCTTCCTTGTGCGAACGGAGCCCACCAAGCGGGAGGTAGATATCTTGGTCCTTGACTTCCTTGCTAAGAGCCATGGCAAGCGAGCGCTTGATGAGCTCGGGCTGTCTAGCACGTCCGATCGAGCGCAGCGCTGTGTTGCGTGCGTCCGCATCCTTGGCGGTTCTGTACTCCTTCAAGATAGCATCATACTCGGCCTCGCCTCCATTCTGCAGGGCGACAGCGTATACACCGGCACGCAAGTTGGGGTGAATAGCTGATCTGTCACCGTTCTTGAACTTCTCAAACATCTCAAGTGCTGCTGCCTTGGTCTTTTCATCACCAGAAAGAGCTGCGCTGCTGAAGAGGAGCGACTTGAACTGCTGCTCAATGTGACCGTCACTCTCCTTGAACTCCCAGCCGAGCGAGTGCGACTTCTTGCTGACAAGGTCGCGCTGGAAGGCCTTGAGTGCATTCTTGACCTTGTCGTCTTGGAAGACCCAAGCTGCGCGCACTGAGGCAATACGGGCAGTGAGCTCATCCCAGACAACAAACTCAGGCTCGGTGTCAAAGCCTTGAAGCAGGGAGAGGACACCGGAGGTCTTCTGGTAGCCAGATGCGGCAAGAGCGCCAGCGTCAGCGATCATACCGGCTCTGTCCTCAACGGTAAGGAGACCCTTCTTAGCGGCCTCTCCAAGCTTCTGTAGGCGCTCAGGAGAGTAAGAGGTTCTGTAGATACCCGAATGGTCTGCGTTGATCTTGTAAAAGTCGAGGTCCTTGACCTTGAAGCTTCTCTCACGGCCATCGAGTGTGAGCTCCTCGTCAACACCGTCCTTGGAGCGGAGGCCAAGGAAGACAGGGTAAAGAACCTTGTCCTCCTCAGGCTTCACGTCTGCGGTGCGCAAGAATCTGTTTTGCTTGACGTGGACCGAGTTGTTCTTGGCATCCTCGGTAACACTAACGACAGGGAAACCGACGTTCTTGGTCCAGATATCCATGATCTTCTCAACGTCCTTTCCACTAGCATCGCTCAAAGCAGCCCAGAGGTCGTTGGTCTGAGTGTTGCCAAAGGCATGCTTCTTTAGGTAGCGTCTGACACCCTCCATGAAAGTCTCCTCTCCAAGGTATTTGGAAACCATACGGAGAACGCAAGATCCCTTGGAGTATGAGATGGCATCAAAAATCTGGTTGATCTCGTCTGCGCGCTTGACAGGAACCTCAATGGGGTGAGAGCTTCGAAGAGAGTCGAGAGCGAGAGCACTTTGGAGGTTATCCGTGACGTAGCCCTGCCATACCTTCCACTCAGGGTAGAACTCGTTACAAGAGTACCACGACATCCAGGTAGCGAAACCCTCGTTCAACCAGAGACCATCCCAGAAGTCCATAGTCACAAGGTTACCGAACCACTGGTGAGCAAGCTCGTGCTGCACAACCTCGGCAACTCTTTGCTTGGTAGAAGCACCGCTCGTCTTCTCATCAAACAGAAGGTCAACAACACGGTAAGTAACCAAACCCCAGTTCTCCATAGCGCCAGCGCTGAAGTCGGGAATGGCAACCATGTCCATCTTGGGAAGAGGGAACTGGCTGTTGAACTTGGTCTCGTAGAACTCCAGAGTCTTGGCTGCGAGTTCAAGAGAGAAACGGCCATGCTCAATGTCCTTGTCAGGGGTTGCAAAGACACGAACGGGAAGTCTGAAGGCGTCGGTTTCGATCATGTTGAGCTCACCAACGATGAAAGCCAGAAGGTAAGTTGACATAAGAGGACTCTTGTTGAAGGTGACGGCCTTCTTGCCGTTGTGTGCGTCCTTCTCGTGGGCAACATCCATGTTGCTCAAGCAAGTCAACTTCTTGTCGGCGACCAGGGTGATGGTGAATTCGGCCTTGAGAGCGGGCTCATCGAAACAAGGGAATGCCCTGCGAGCATCGGTGGGTTCCATCTGAGTGGTGGCAATGTACTTGTCACTACCATCCTCGCCCTTGTAACTCGAACGGTAGAAACCAGCCATGTTGGCGTTGAGAGTACCAGTGAAGGTCTGTGTAAGGGTAGCCTTGTGGCCAGCGGGGATGGTGTCGGGGAACGAGACGGTTGTTGTCTGGGTGTTCTCATCGTAGGTGACCTTGGGCGAGGAAGTAATGAGCTTAGAGCCCGAGTGGACCTCGGTGGACTTGATGTCGATGTCGATCGTGTTCAGCGAGATGGATGTGGTGTCCTCGACGACATCGAGNNACTATGTGTGTGTTAGCAATCGTGTTACAAGCCGAGGACGATTTGTAGAGTCGGCATACTCAATGACGACCTTACCCTCATATTGGAAGGTCTCGAGGTTAGGCTCCAGAGTCAGGTGGTAGTGGAGGGGCTTGACATTCTTGGGCAGAACCTCACGACCTTTGGCAATGTCGAGGTTGGCACCCATGGCATCGGCATCGCGGCGACACATTCTTCTATGCGAGCAGTGGCGAGCTTGGATACGAGATCTAGGAAGTCGGGAGGTTGAGTTTGGGCGAAGAGAAGATTGGCGTTGGTGGACAGTGGCGGGGTTAGATGTGGTCGAAGATGTAGTGAAGAAGTGGGAGCGAGATGCTGAAACAACAGCACGTCTAGGAACTACAGATCTGACGGCCTGAGAGCGGACTGTTCGGAGAAGATGAAGGTTCATCAGAGGAAGGAAGGAAGAGAGGAAAGGGGCAGGACAAGAAGGAACGTAGACGATACGAGTGCTCGATAGCTCCTGCTCTTTCGAGACTCGAATGTTTCGGTCACACGAACGGACTTTTGCAAACACCGACCCTGTGGATCGTACCTGCCACCTGCAGCTTGCATCTTGCCGATCGCTCCTGCCCCGCGTCTCGAAGACACGACACTTGGCATGATGTACCGTTTGCTGGTGATGCCTCCTGCGCTTGACAAAATCCAACATGTCCATTGGAATCTCATAGCAGTCGCTCTTTACTGATCGAAACACCGCGACCATGTGGATATTACCCCTGGTCGGCTATCTAGGCCTAGCGCTTGGGTTCTCCTTCCTGACACTTGCGATCGCATCTGGCCTGTACTATCTCTCCGAGCTAGTCGAAGAGCATACCGTTCTGGCCAANAAACTCTTGACTCGGCTTATATATCTGGTTGTCGCCATCCAAGTATTGCTGGCTCTCTTCGACAAATTTCCGCTGGGGCTCTCGGCTCTTGCTATCGCCAGTCATGGTGTTTACCACCAGAATCTCCGCCGCTTCCCCATTGTCAAGCTCACTGACCCTATCTTCTTGCTGTCGTGTGGTACGTTTCCTGATTACGCAACTTAGTTCTTCTATCGCTAACCTGAATCCTCCCANGCACTTGTCCTTCTGAACCACTGGCTATGGTTCCGCCATTTCTCCGCTCCACCTTCATCTCCTCCCAGGCACTACAACTACTACGCCCCAAACGAGTCCATCCCAAGCTTCAGCGAAGTCGCTGCCTTNTTTGGAATACAAGTCTGGCTAGTGCCTTTCGCACTCTTCGTCTCGCTGTCTGCTGGCGAGAATGTCTTGCCGAGTATGGGCAGTGAATACGCTACGGGAGCTGGCAGCAGCTTCATTTCTGCTGGAAAGGAACCCGATAATGCTGCAACTGCTTACGCCTCGGCTTCCGGTTCACGTAGATCGCGCTCTGGGACAAATGCTGGTATGGCCAAAGCTGCTGTCATGGGCGTTCGTGAATGGATCGGCGAGACAGGAGAGCTTATGGGCTTTTGGAGAGGCGAGCGAACGAGGCCTTTCTGAGTGATTGTCAAGGAGGGTTCGCATCAGTCAAAAGTTAGTCCAGGTGCACGAATTCATGAATCAAAATAAGAATTGTTTGAGGTATACACGCTATACAACAGACCCCCGCCCAGGCCTTGCGATCGATGTTTTGTCTATGGTGACTGCATTTACTGCTTCTCCATGGCGCCAAGAATGGCTCTTGTGAACTCCTGAGTGGTCGAGTTGCCGCCCATGTCACGGGTGCGGGNTCTTGCTGTGCGGTCGTTAGTGATGTGTTCAATTAGAGAAGATTTAGGATACACATACCCCTCAGCGATAACATCGTAAACGGCCTTGGAGATTCTGTTGGCGTGGTCGTCGAGACCAATGTGTCTCAGGAGCATGCTTCCGGAGAGGATGAGAGCGGTGGGGTTGGCCTGGTCCTTGCCCTTGATGTCGAGACCGACGTGTCTGCAGCCGGGCTCGAAGACGGCAACATCACGACCCATGTTGCATCCGGGAACGATACCGGGACCACCAACGAGACCAGCTCCAATGTTGGAGAGAATACCTCCGTACAAGTTGGGCATGACCATGACGTCGAACTGTTGGGGTCTGGAGACACACTGCATCGAGGCGTTGTCGACAATCATGTCGTTGGTCTCGATGGTGGGGTACTCCTCGCCGACCTTCTTGATGGTGTTGCGGAACAGACCGTCGGCCAGCTTCATGATGTTGGCCTTGTGGATGCAGGTGACCTTCTTGCGGTTGTTGGCGAGGGCGAAAGCGTAGGCGAACTTGGCGATGCGCTCCGACTTTGCGCGGGTGATGATCTTGAGCGACTCGACGACGCCATCGACCGACTGGTGCTCGAGGCCAGAGTACTCTCCCTCGGTGTTCTCACGGATGATGCAGAAGTCGACGTTCTTGTGGCGGGTCTCGTAGCCGGGGATGTTCTTGATCAGGACAATCGAAGCGTAGATGTCGAGNNGCTCCTGACGGAGGGCGACGTTGAAAGACTGGTGACCGGAGCGCTCGACGGGAGTGTGGAGAATACCCTTGAGACCGAGCTTGTTGCGCTTGAGCGAAGCAATCGACTCTCTGAACAGCTCCTCGGAGTGCTTGTCGCCAGTCTCGATACCGGTGACATCGACCTGCTCCCACTCGACGGGGACGTTGTCGGCCTTGAAGATCTGCTTGACTGACTCGGAGACTTCGGCACCGATACCATCACCGGGGATCAGGGTGACGGTGTACTTGCCGCCAAACTTGGTGGGCCTGAAGATGTCCTGGCCGACAGTGGTGGCCATGGNCTGTGGGCAGAGTTCAGTAATTGATTCATGGACGGCATTGGAGCATTGGAGTCGAGGTGGGTACTGACAGCGCGAAGCGATCGAGGGACCGGCAAGGCATCTGGATGCAGGCTTTGCGCCGCGAAGGAGCGTCTGGAGGGCCGTGTCAGGGTATGCTACGGGGTTGAGGGCGTCAGCGGAGCAGGCATACCTTGGAAAGCATGGCGACTGGTGCGGAGTGGAGCGGTATAGGGTGTGAGGAGAGAGGGCGACCGTGGCAGTGAGGTTAGCGATAGTTCGGATGGAAATCACAACTCGAATCCACCTCTCCGCCCTGCTGCTGCCAAGCTTGCACTCTTGCGGGACCACTCGGGCAAGTCGGGCCAGCGCTGTACCCGAGTTGCTCCTTCCACTGCCGACTTTCTACCCGGCTTTCTTCCAGCTGTGTCCTCTCATCAACAAATGACCCATCAGCAATCGTGTAGAAACAATGTTTTCAACCAGCTTGCATCTATGAAGCCGTAGAAGCGAAGTGCCAAGCTTTGACTTTCCAAGCTGACTACAGCCCGACCTCCCGCAGGTATAGCATCTTGACCCTGAGTTATCGACCACCAAGCCAGGACTCTCAAACAACGCAAAGATACCCCTACAGGACCACCGAATATCGTAGTGTTCTCTCGAAGATCGAGGCGCAGCCAACAGGACATCTCACTTTCACCTCTTATTCAGCACCAAATATGGTGATTCTCCTTATTGACATCTGCATTCGACATCGCCTCGAAGCCACATCTTACACCTCGAACCTGATTCCATTCACTGTCTACAAAGCCATCCGAGATAATTATGCCAAGCTTCCAAGTATGTCGCTCGATTCTTGGTCGGCGACAAGCATTTGATCTGGCGTCGAATCAACATCCTTTGCTCTCGTTCTCGCACCTAGTTTCCACGCTTTGATGCATACACAGCTCTCTTTGCCATGTTACCACCTGTGTTGGTTCGTCAAGTGCTTTCTTTGACCTATTTATTGTCGCTAGTATTGCCACGAGGCCAATAACCCAATAGCGAAGTCGCCCAGGTCGAGGTGTTGTATTTCTTTATTGAGTCTTATTGACACACACTTACAACCCCCAACACTGTTGATGAGTATATATAACACTTCTTGATCCTTCTCTATCTCGATCACCAACTCATAAGTCATTCATTTACGACTATTCCTCTTATCACAAACAACTCAAAAAATCAATCATGAAGGTCACCACCGTTGCTATGGCCACTATGGCCGCAGTTGCCTCTGCTGCACCTACCGCTCAACCTGCCGCCGCTCCTGAACCTGCTTTCTCCTCTTGGGGTAAGAAGTACAACCCTCACCTCTGGAACGGCTGGGGCGATGCTCCCGGTCAGGTCTACCGTCGTGAGGCCGACCCAGCATTCTCATCCTGGGGCAAAAAGTACAACCCTCACCTCTGGAACGGCTGGGGTGATGCACCTGGCCAGGTCTACCGCCGTGAAGCTGAAGCTGATCCTGCTTTCTCGTCTTGGGGCAAGAAGTACAACCCTAAGCTCTGGAACGGCTGGGGTGACGCTCCCGGCCAGGTCTACCGCCGTGAGGCTGAGGCTGACCCAGCCTTCTCCTCGTGGGGCAAGAAATACAACCCTCACCTCTGGAACGGATGGGGTGATGCTCCCGGACAAGTCTACCGCCGCGAGGCTGAGGCTGAGGCCGACCCTGCCTTCTCTTCTTGGGGCAAGAAGTATAACCCCAAGCTCTGGAACGGCTGGGGTGACGCTCCCGGCCAGGTCTACCGTCGCGAGCCGGAGGCCGCTGCCACCACCACCGAGGCTGCCGCAACCGAGACTGAGACCGCTGAGGCCAAGTAAACTTGCCAACAAGCAACCCATACCGATCATACCATGGCTACCTCATCTTTCGATGGCAGTCAAATTTTGATCGCTTGAGTACTTCTTTTCTCGACTTCCAATTCCACATTTTCGCGATTCGAGATTCTCGTATGAGGACTCGGATGTGTTTGTCCTTATATCGCTATGCTATCATCAGTCGGACTCGGCTTTCTTCTCTTTGGATGGCGAGGCACATGGCTCCCTTCTTATTCATATATGCAGTTTTGCAATGACCTTTGTATTCAATTCTCCTTTCTTGTTTTTCAATATCATTATTTGCTGTCCATGCCTATCTGTTTGTGTCTCGTTGATCCCCTGATATTTCGTGCTTCACCCTGCAACCATGTGCCTTTGTGCTAAAATATAAAAGATTTTGGGTGTCTCGACATTTTGCCCTCGATATATGGGAGATCTGGGCAGAGGAAGAAGAGTCACGGACCTGCATCGCTCTCCATTCAATGTTCCATCTTCCCTGATGTTGGCGGCTGCGGGTCAAGCCACTCTTGAATTCTACTGCAAACATACTTGACCGCGATGGTATCGGTTGGCTGGGTTTCCAATTCTGGACACGATACATGTCTCATGCATGAGTAGAAGAATTTCGGGCTTGTATTTTGTCGCCATTAGATAGCCTTGATTGAGAAAATTCTCACGAATGACTTCTCTGAGGTCAGCTAACAGTTTCTTGTGGCGTTTGTCACTGCAAAAGTGGGCATGCAGAGTAGTGTGGTACAGTAATGCAGATGTTTGGTCAGAGAAAGAAGGAAAATGGATATTAATGATATGAGAAAAGTTATAACCCAGCGTCACCATCCTGGGACCTTGAACCTTTCCACCTCCCTTGCAAAAAAGCAACATGATGCATGAGGATAACCAACGCATGCGAGAAAGAAACAGAAAACAATGCTTGACCCACCCCATATGTACATGTGAAAAAGAAAATCGTTACAACAGATACATCGCAACACCGCAGTGCAAAAGGCTGGATGCTTTGGATGGAGAGACATGAACAATGAGAGGAAGAAAAGGACATCTAGTAGCGTTCACGAGGACCATTGCCGTGCTCGTGGAGAACATCGTCAAAGTATGCGCTGGGGGCACGTTGGCCGGGTAGGTTGCTGCTGACATTGCTGTTGTCTTCTTGCGCGCCATAACCAACGGCCAAGCTGCTCGTGCTGGGCTGACTGTAGAGCTGTTGTGATGGGTTGAGAAGTGCATTTGAACCGGTTCGTTGGTGCGAATTTGGGTTCATGCTGCTACGGGGGCGAGAGCCGTCTCGGCTAGATGGTGGAGAGTATTCGGCACGAGAAAAGCGGTGGGATGTGGGTCGCAGGCTTGGTGCGGCGCCCAGGACCATCGAGTCGCGACCTCCAGCGGCTTGGGCACCGGGAGTAGCATAGTATCCAGCAGGCAAGTAGGTGGAGTTCCGGTCCTGGTTGACGGGCATGTATGCAGAGTTGCGCTGACCGGCAGTGGGAGAGAAGAAGAGGGAGGATGGATCGGCGGTGGGTGCGGCGCTCTTGCGGTTCTCCTTCTTGAGACCCGAGGAGGATACGGGCTTGCCAGCGGCGGTCAGGGCATCGAGAGAGAGGGACGAGCCTTGGGGCATGGCGTAGAGGTTGCCACCAGGGCCGTACTTGGTCTTTGCATCCGAGGCCATGACACTTTGCATGGCAGCACGCTTGACAGAGCGGTTGATGGACCAGGCCACCACAGCACGCCATGCCAGGACAGCGGCGCCCAAGAAAGCAAGACAGGCACCCACGGCTATGAAGACGGTGCCCTCGGGGGCGTTGGACCTTTGCATGAAGGGAGCGTCGGCGGTGAAGGGAATGACCATGTCGGGAACGGTGGCACCGGCGAGGGTGGGCAGGTCGGATGGATGTCCGACGGTGCTGGATGCAGCACCGGAGGTCTTGGAGGCAGCCGAAGAAGCCTTGGACGAGTTGGCGGTGGACGAGGCAGCAGCACTTGAGGTACTGCTGGACTTGACAAAGGACGAGACTCCAGTCAACTTGTCTGTGGTAGGGGCATTGGTCGAGGCGGCCGACGAGGCCTTGGTCGAGGCAGCGGCCGTAGTTTGGGCATTATTGTTGTTGTTCTGAGCGGCGACCAGCACGGCGCCGGTGGCGAGTGCCAACAGCAGATTGTTCTTCCTCATGCTGGCGGTTCTTATGGGATGTGTCGGCGGGCGAGGCGATTGTTTACCCCGGCAGATGAAGCCCCTTCGCGACGGGGACAAGGACTTTTCGGTCGCCGGAAAAATCACAAGACGTAGGTGGAGTAAGATCTCGAAGAGGGTAAAAAGGAGTGACGCAAGTGCAATGCAGCGAGAGCGAGATGCAGCAGATTTGCAGACCGAGTGCTGCACTGTCGATGGCTCTTGGGTCAAACTTGTGCCTGTGCCCGTCTATTTTGGTCCCTCCCGCATGCCCCATCCCGTGGCGCAGGGCAACCTCTGCCAAACTCTTGGCACTGCTTCTTCCCTCAGCCATGATCGACTTGTATCTACTCATTCTGTTTGATGTCTGTTTCAGCAGAGCATGAGAAACCCTTTCCCACCCTCCGATTCTGCACCTGGTCATGGTCATGTCCACCTGGCTTTGTTGCCGCCAGGCACCCCTATCCTCCAAACCCTGACCTATCAGTATCCTCTCAAACTCATCTCACCCGCTCCTGTGACCATAACCCCGTCTGCCGACAGTGACTTGTCCCATCAAGTCCATACTCTCTACATCCTGACCTATGGTGGTGGTATAGTTGCTGGAGACACCGTCACCTTGCGCATTGATCTTGACACCACCACCCGTCTGCTCATCCTCACCCAAGGCAGCACCAAGATCTTCAAAACGCCCGCTCCTTCCACTCTCAGTCGTCAGGACATGAACATGCATCTGAAGCCTGCTGCTGCTCTGGTCTATCTTCCCGACCCAGTCCAACCCTTTGCTCAGAGTGCATTTGAACAAACCCAACGGTTTTACATACACCGTCAGCAGCATGTTCCCAATCCCAGCATTTGTGTCCTGGACTGGGTGTGTCAAGGTCGCAGAGCCTTAGGTGAGGACTGGAATTTCTTCAAGTACTCCAGCAAGAACGAAGTCTGGCTTGTCGACGGGTCCTGCGGATCCGACGAGAAGAGGCTGCTATTGCGTGACAATGTCACCTTAGACGCTAGCGATAAGGCAATACGAACATCGTTGGCTCGACGCATGGATGGTCTCGGTGCTTTTGGAACTCTGATATTATATGGATCTGTTTTTGCGAGTCTTGCGACATTTTTCATGGACGAGTTCAAAGCTATACCCCGGATTGGAGGCAGGAAATGGGATACTGGCGATGAAGCTGACGACGCCGTCCAAGATCCGGAACCTCTCGTATTGAAGCGGAAGGCTAGACAAAAACAGGAAACAAGCGATGGTCTGCTGTGGTCTGCGGCCATGACACGAGGGTGTGTCGTTGTCAAGTTCGGCGCAAGAGAAGTCGAAGGTGGGAAACGTTGGTTGCGCTCCATGATAGAGACAGAAGGCAGCGTTCCCACTCAGTTTGGAGACCGGTGCTTGCTTTGTCTGCGATAGGCTTGAGCTTCTATACCCGGCATCTGACCTCAGATGCGCATGCTTGGTGTTTGTTTCATGATCTACTCTCCCGATGCCTTTCTCATCAGAGCTCTGTACTGCTCAATGATGTTCTTTCTCTCCGCGCCGAGCTCCTCTCTCCTTGCCAAACTACCAGCAGCATTTGGAACATCGGCCACATCTGCTCTGGCTCCGTTCTTGACCTTGAACTTCTCCCTGGGTACCACGGTGAACTCAGGAGGAGCCTGTGCCACATCGTGGAGGCCCTTGGGTTTGTCTCGTTTCGTCTTGAGCACTGCCCAAATATCGTCGTTGTCTTTGGACTCGCCGATCATTCTTTGGCGCTTCTTGCCGTAGAGAGTTGGCACGCCCGAGTCCTCTCCGTATAGTGCATTTCGTTCTTCCTCCTCTTCCTCGCGCTTCTCTTGCTCCTCCTCAGCCTTGTCCTTGATTCGCTGATCCTCTTTCCTCCATTCGTCGTACATCTTGTGCATTCTCTTCTCCGTCTTTGTCCGTGTGACCTTCTCGCCAGGTGCCAGGCCTTGGTTGCCCTTTCGCGCCAGACCAGTCACTGGCAATGTCTGATCTACACGAGCGTTGAAGTCTCGTAGCTTTTCGCCAGGTTGAATCTTGGGCATCTCCATTGTTGTTCCTTTGACTTTTTGCTTGATGTCCTCCTGGCGTTTGCGCTTCTTGCTGGCAGTCTTGGACTCGCCCTCGATTTCGTCCTGTGTAGATTTCGGTTGCTGGCGTTGCATCAAGCGCGCAAACGCCTTTGGTGTGTCGTCGAACTTGTATGCATTCTTCTCGGTCTTTCTCTTCTTCTTGCCATCCGAGGTAAAGACAGTCTGAGCATTTTTGCCTACGGGCAGAGCCTTTGCGACAGCCGTGGGAGGCAGATTAAANNACTGTGCAGCTAAGTTTTAGCATTCGGAGTTCAGTCGGAGTATTTCAGCGGTGTGTAATTACTCGTCGGCATTGTCATCCCTCCTTCTGTGTTTGTGAGGCATTATGGCTGGTTATCGCTAAGCGGAAATGGTGATTGTTCCTTTGCGCCCAAAAAAAGTCTCGACTGAAGGCGTTGTAATGCGTGATCTGCGGCGTTTGTCATCTAAGCAAACTTTAGACTCTGGGGTAAAACGAGCCTACCCCACGCACCAATCAAATGCCTCAGTTCGGACATCCGCCATGCGAGTGGTATTGATAAAGCCACAGCCGACATCGTCGCTGAACATGTTTCTCCTCGACTCGCCCAAAGCGACGGGTCAAAGTGTCCCTGTATCCATGTGATTGGCCTGGCTGCATAACGCCCTTCGTGTAGTAACTTTGGCCTTCGCATGTTTGGGACATTTCCATGTGCGCGAAATCAAGCCTCATCGCGGTCTAGCCCGGTGGAGAGCGAACCATCGACAAGCTCCGAACCCGTGTTGCTTGTCGACCTGAATTCTGGTGTCCGCGCCCTCCGTGTTATAGATATGTGTGCTACCCATCCGCTGCAGCCATTCGCTATCGTGATTTCCTGCTTTTGACCACGCTCATTGCTGATTTGGTTGTCTCAGTCGGCGTCATTCCTTATACTGACAAGAGCGACCCGTTACAAGATCTCGAGGACTCTGCCGCACTTCACACCGTCATCGGATCCACCTGTCAAAGATACCAAGCCCAGAGAATATCCATTCATTCGACCTGAAAAGCGTCTCATCAGTCTCATCGATTTCATTTTGCATGTTATTCACCTTGCTCCATGGCAACTTCTGTTTTGGAGATCACTCCGACGCTGGAATCAAATCCATCGAGAACACCATCTCCTGCCGAAGTTGAGAATGGCTATTATCAACCAATCCCCTCACGACGCTGGTATCATATTATCCTCGACGGTCTTACTCCTATGGCCCTGAGACTTCGCTCTCAACCTCATCCTCACCATCCTTTCGTCTCTCAAAGTCGTACCTCGATCGCCAAGCCGAAACAAGAATACATCGTCACAGAGACTGCTATACCGGAGCCAGGACCGGAGTCATCCGTTACGAGAAGATTTCAGATCATTGCAGTCATTAGATTGGCATGCGTAATTATTCCTGTGACTGTCTTGTGTCTCTTGTAAGTCGACCAATCTGGCCGGACTGCTATCGATACTGATCAAGATGTCCAGNNTGGCATTCTACACATCGTGTCATATCTGTTCTATGGCAACGCTCTGCTTGTGGAGACCAACTTTGATTTCTTGCCAGACTGGGGTCATTCGGGAAAGATTGGAGATGGCCTAGCACATTATCCTACTGACGCAACTCGAGATGTCCTGCCAATTCGTAAGTGTTTGAGAGGTCCAAATGTATTTATGTAACGATTCGACTGACCGAGCCATTGTNNAGATGTCCACTCGCACAACGACTACTGGTGAGCACTTTTCTACCTCTGATGAACCCTTTGATTACCGTTCGCATTGCTAATATATGTAATGTAGNNGAGACGAATTCCTTTGTACGAGGCTTTGCATTACGGATGCACGGGTGTCGAGGCAGACGTTTGGCACATCGGAGACGACCTATTTGTGGGTCACAGTACATCCGCTCTGACTCCGAATCGCACGTTCAGAAACCTCTACGTGGACCCTCTCATCGCATTGTTGGACAAACAGAACCCTATCACCTCGTTCGGCGACACTAGGAACCATGGAGTCTTCGACGAGGATCCAAATCAGACACTGGTCCTGCTCGTCGATCTCAAAACTCATGGTTTAGACACTTTTATGAAAGTGGAAGAGCAACTCGAAGGTCTTCGTGCCAAGGGCTACCTCACCTATTTTAATGGTACACACACCATTCCTGGAGCAATCACTGTGGTCGGAACAGGAAACACGCCCTTTGATCTGGTGACTGCCAACACCACGTACCGCGACATTTTCTACGACGCTCCCCTAGGAATGCTATACGAGGCATCACCAATATCACTCTCCGATATCAACATCGACCCTGAATTGCACCACCTGACAGAAGTTGACGACTATCACCCTTCATCAGCAGGTCAAGGTAAAACCGGTCTGCCCGCAAACACACCAGCCTCCGCCTTCAACGCCAGCACATCCTACTACGCCAGCATAAACTTCAAACGCTCCATCGGCCGTGTCTGGCGCGGTAAACTCTCGCGCAAACAAATGAAAATCATCCGTGGACAGATCAGGGGCGCCAANAAGGCAGGTCTCAAAGCAAGATATTGGAATACACCGGCTTGGCCTGTCAGTTTGCGAAACCACATCTGGCATATATTGGTGCAAGAGGGTGTTGGTATGCTTAATGCTGATGATCTTGAGGGTGCTGCGATAGAGGACTGGAGGCGTTGGAAGCATGAGTGGTCGGATTGAATGATCGTTTGGTTGGGTGATGATTAGATGATAGATGTGCTCTTGGCTTATTCACGATTCACGAAGAATGAAATCCCTTTTTCTCTCCTCATTGCCTATTGCTCTGTTTTCAATCTTCAGCCAGAATGAATCATACTGTAAAATAAGATCAAATAACGTTTTACGACCAGAGGCGATTGCTTGCAAGTCTTCGGCCTAGAGATGAGCCCACTCTAGTACTTGACATGAGAAGTGCCAGTGCAGAAATTGTCACGATCTCTAGGGTTTACATGAGATCATCTATAACATTGGCTCCTACAAACTCTCACAATCTACAAAATTGTTCTTGAAGATCCATGACATACTGATCTGAATCCCTCATCCCATCACCAATCACACTTGTGCAACTCACAGCTTCGATACCGCGAGTTTTCATGTCAGGGAAAGAGATAAGGGAGGGTATGGTGTCAGTGTCGCTGGATATTGTGCCATGTTCATCCTATCCACATATCCAGTTCCGTGTTACTTCATAGACTGTTGAGAGTTTGTCGCAGAAGAGGAGAGGGAAGGAGAAAGAAAGGGTCATTGACCCGTGCACCTGCCCTTTCTCTCTACCACACTCCTCAATGTCCTAGACTCAACCCCATCGATTGACTCGATACAAGAGACAGAGTTGCGTTGCCAGGAGAGCAAGCGAGTACTCATCCCCCATTTTTCTCTCGAGCAGGAAAATACATCTCTGGAGGCGGAACGATGAGTTGAGTGTAGAGACTTTGATAGTGATGTTCTCATCCATGGGCAAGATCGAGAAATGCACAGAGCTATAGAAACATGAAGTGGACCATCGTCTCGGAGATGTGTCCAGAGAGAGGGTCAGCGAAAAGCAGCTCTGCACTTGCAGTAGAAAATCGCTCTACTTCCTAACATCAAGCACACTCTCCGCAGCCTCAACAAGCAACCCAAATACCTTTCTAATACCCTCTTCACTAGCCAACGGATTTGCACTAACAACACGAATAGCATACGCATCACCAACCAAAGAACTCGTCAAGAATACCTTCTTGCTCTGATCCACAATCTCATACACCTTCTTCGTATTCGCATTTGCCTGCTCCAAAACTTCCGAATCGGGTTGTTGAGGAATAACGGCAATGTGAGAGTCTTGGTAGGGAACACCGTTCTCTGCATCGGGTTCACCTTCTGTGGTTGAAGGTTTGGGGGCGCGCTGCTTGAGTGTTGGGTTTACTGTCATGACGCAAAGAGCAAAAGCAGGTGGTGTGATGATGCCGAAGAGATCGCTTCTACCCTTGACGAGGTCGACAAAGAGATCTGAAAGCTTGAGATGGTGTTTGATATGTGCTTTTAAGCCTTCAACTCCCCATGTCCTGATGACGAACCAGACTTTTAGGGCGCGGAAGCGGCGACCAAGGGNGATTTGCCAGTCGCGGTAGTCGGTGACGAGACCTTGGTCTGAGAAGTTATTGCGTAGGTAGGCCGGTGTGATGGATAGTGCATCTGTCAGATCGCAACGGTTCTGGACGAACAAACATGAGGCGTCGAAGTTGGTAAGCAGCCATTTGTGCATGTTTGTGTCGAAGGAATCAAAGGTGGAAAAGTGTTTGCAGTAATGTTGGTATTCGGGCAGTACCAGAGCAACGCCAGCATATGCGGCATCGACGTGAATCCAGATGTCAGGGTAATCTCTCTTGACTTCGGCGATAGAGGCAAAGTCGTCGACAGCACAAGTGTTTGTTGTTCCCAGCGATACGGTCAAGAAGTAGGGCTCGAGGCCTTGTGCCTTTAGCTTCTCGATAGTGGAACGAAGTTCGTGGCCTTGGAGGGCGAATGCGTTAGACAGCGAGGTGTCAATGCTACGGAATCTTGTGCCGGCAATGTTTGCACCCTTGTGGGTGGAGCTGTGAGTATGTTTGGTGGCCAGAGCAACGAGTTTACTCCTGATTTCCGCAGAGCGATCCTCCTTTTGTTCCTCAGTGAGGACAATGCCTTCTTTCTCGAGGGTTCTTGTAACGTAGCGTTCGCGTGCTGCAACCATGCAGGTGACAATGGCCTCAGAGGCGGAACCCTGAATGACACCACCACCTTTGCCCTTGGAGAGGAAGCACTCGGGGAGAGCGAGCATTTGGGCGACCCAGTCCATGACTATCGTCTCGAGTTCGGTGACGGCGGGCGAGCAGAGCCAATTGAAGGCAGGCACAGTCAACGCTGCTGACCACAGCTCTCCCATCATACCTGGGTACGAGCTGCTGGCGGGGAAGAAGGCCATGAAGTCTGGACTCTGCCAATGTGTCATGCCGGGCATGATCTTGGACTCCATGTCTGCGCGGATCTTGTCCCAGCTCTCGGCTTCGGTAGGCGGCGATTGAGGTAATAGCTTCGCGAGGTAACCAGGTTCGACCGAAGGAAGGACAGGGCGTTCGCTTATGTTGTCGTAGTAGTTTGTGATATCCTGAATGGCCTCCGTTGCTGCATTGTTGAACTGATGCGACGTCATGCCCATGGGTGGGACGATGCGTTCGTCGCGGACCGTCTTGTTGTCGCCATTGCTGCTACCATTGGCACTGCGGGCAGGGAGGGATTGGCTGCTCATCTTGGCCACTCTCGTATATCTTAATGCCCGAGAAAGAATATGGCGACGTGGAAGAAGCATCAAGCTGTCGTCTTGCCAGGAAGGAGCCCCACAACAGGCCGCAATATATTCTCCAGATCGCGGGTCAATTCCGCACCTTCCTTTACTTACGCCCTTCTCTCGACATGCTGCACTCCTTCTCTCAACATCCTCATGATCAACATGGACCACGAATCAAATCATTCCTTGCATGCCATATCGAAATTCTTCGATATACCATAGGATCACCCCTTGCATTCTTCCGGCCTATCATATGAACCCATTTCTCCATACCTAGATCTTCTATAACATACCAAGTACGACCGTACTAAGCTGTCCTTGAAGCCTCGGATTGGTAGACGTGCATTTCCTGCCCTCTACTTCAGATGTGATTCTAGACAAAGATTAGACCCGAGACCCGATGTCGAATAACGTACTAGGTCGACAATGCATTGCCTTTGTTTTCTTATTCCGCGTTATCGTGCCCATTATATCCAGACAGATGTACTGCAACATAGAGAGATCGTTACATACGAAGGACGGAGAGAAACACTAGATTCATCGACCTCGTTCGCGACGTTCTTCTGCAATGATATTAGATCTCTAGATAGAGAAAATGAAATGCGTGACCCATTAGCGCCGACTACTCCAGCTTAGAGCGTCTCCTGCTCTTGTTGTTGATAAGGATTAAGGATAGAGAATGTTATTTTGGTGAGTTATATACTACGAACATATCTCTCCGTTGGCATTACTTCTTCTTAGAAAACATTGCGCATCTCTATAACTATAGCATGATAGCTACAATATAATGCAAGAACCGTTTGGGTGTTAGAAAATTTGGTACCAGTGTATATCAACGTAGAACTGATGATCAGAGCAAAGCGGTACTACTCTCAATTCTCAATCTATCAAAAGAAACAGGTTATACAAAGTCACGGTATTAGCTTACAGCTTTAATCTATTCACTGAGAGCCTAGAAAAGCTCAGTTCAAGCGATTCGTTTTATTCTCATTATATATAGACACAGATACCAAGTCATTCTTGTTTCGAATATCACGATTACTCCTTGCTTCCAGCTCTATTATGACAGGTTTGACCATCCCAAAATCTCGAGACAAATATTTACATGGATCCATGACCGAATAGTTGACATATAAGACACTCTTCGGGGCAGCGTACCGACTGGACAATTAACGGGATCGAATCAGATGAGTTCGGTTAGTAAGTGTGAGATTCTCGGATCTTCAATAAGCTCCTTTCCACCTCGAGGCAACTGTCCTTCTTGCCATACATATCGGCTATAGTATTGAGATGTGATTGGCCTAGATAGTCCTAGTTGTAGCTGTATAGCTGGTACGTTCTCTTAGTACAAGGATTGAATCACAAGAGCGTCAAGCGCCTGGTCGTATCATCCACTTTGCAAGGATTAGCTCGGCATGGACCAGTTAATATCTTGTCGAACCGATCAAAGTGATCTGAGCAGAACGATCCAACCATGCAGATGACACAATATCGACTACAGAGAGCCGAGTGGGAGATCTCGGGATGCTTTTGAAGTATCATGGAGTCATAGACCTGGTCCATTTTCTCTCCCTGGTCTATGTGAGAAATCACGAACCCTTGAGAGGCGTTCAGACACAGCCTGTTCAAGCGTGAACGATCGGCGGCGGGTGTTGCGAAAGTGAAATGGTTGCGGTCAGTCTAAGCGGGAATTAACATGGAGATCTGTATTGAATGTCGTTTGTTGCGTGGATGACTACTATCAGTATCCAGGCTTGGGACTCGAGAACTGATGTAGTAAGCTCTTTACACCACTTCTCAGATCCACTTCGACTTATCACCACTGTCCTCATTCTTCGACCCCTGCATCCCTTTGATTGCAACAATCAACCTCACACCCGCCTCTGCAGTCCCCATAAACTCCTTTCTAGCATTCCAGAACCTCTCTGCCTTTTCAGTCTTGTATTCACTTCTCACAACGACTGTCTCCTCGACTTCAGGGATGATAGGCAGATGACCCCTTTTCTCCGGGTCTGTGGGTGTCGTAGGGCTAGAACGCTTGTGGGTTGCAGTATATGAGTGAGCTTCTTGACGAGCAGACGCGCCAGCCGCCTCTTCAGAAAATGTCTCGAGATAACGTTTTCTTACCAAGCGGCGGGAAACTTCTTCTGTTCTTACAGCATCTGAACCGATCTTGTCAAAGACGAATCGAACGCCAATTTTCGTGACTAGGTAGGCTTGTTCGGCGATAAATACCGTGAGCAACAAGTAGTCGAGACGGATGTTGGTAACGTCGCCGTTGCCGTATAGATACAACAAAGCAGCGGTGGAAAGACTTCCCAGCCATGTCAGAAACTCGAGTGCAGAGATGCAAGGACCAATCGAGTCGGAGCGGATGGGAGGTGGACGTTGTGATTCACTGACGAGCTTGAAGAAATCGCCGCGAAGTTCGATCCAGTTGTTGATTAGGAAGCCCAAAGGCATGAGCGGATATACGATGCCAAACATGGCGAGATAGCCAAATTGGACGCACATTTCCATGATATCCTCTTGGACATCGTAGGNCGTGGCGGCTGCCTCTGCGCGCAGCCGATATAGTAGGGTTGCCTCCCGCGGAGCATCGATCAGGAGAGTCTTTGTAAATTCAGAGTGCATGCGCTGGTGCAGTGAGGTTTCTTGTCGGGCGTCTTTGTATCGGCGATATGCTTCTTGTATGTGTCGCTTCACAAACGGTAGAACAAATTCTTCGCCAAAGTTGATCACTTGTCCGGCCATGGACAACGATATGACTTCTTCTTGTAAGCGATGGGCATCGATGCGAAAGTCTTTGGCTGCGACATGCGACGACCAAGCATCTGGTACTAAGAGAGGCAGAAGCTTCGTTCCGAAGGGTACGTAAACGTAAGCAGTCAGGATAAGCGGAAGAAACGAGGTGACGAAGTTCAAGACGAAGGCTTTCTGCACTTGAGCCAGTTCGAATTCGTCATTCGTGCGATGATTTTCGTGTTCCGACAGTCGTGACGCAACAGATGTCAGGGTTTCTGTAACATATGGCAATGAAATCGCGAGAAGTATTGTAGGGAGATACTGTATAGCCTGGCTATCATTAGTCCAGAGGAATGTACAGTGTATTGCGTGTCTTACCCAGTAGCTTGCCAATTCCTCGCCATACACATCTGAGAGAACAGCTTCGACTAGAAATGTGACGACCAGAACACTGCTGAGAGCCAGACTAGCCAATGCAGCGAAAGGCAAAAACAGAAGCTGTCTCATCAAACGCTTATGAGCGGGAAATATTTTCTTCACCTCACCAGTGATTGGATCCGTCTCTTCTTTCTCCCATTCATACTGAACGCGGTTGACTTTGAGTGCGCCAACACCTCTGACGTTCCATCTGATGCTCAGATCAAGTTCCTGTCTCTTCCAACACTCGACGAATGTGATGCTCCATATACATGTGGCCGCACCAAATGGAAGTGAGTACGGTTTGGAGAAAAGCCAGAACAATGCGCCAGATGAAGCAGGCACGATGAGAAACAAGGAGTAGGCTTGTATAAAGGCGTAATAGAAGGCAANCCTATGAGCTAATCAGCAATCTATCACTTAGCAGAAGAATTGTCATACCTTCTCTCCGAAGAGCGCCTTGATCTGATCCAAATCATCTACGTCCAGGATAATCTTGGCAGACAGCTGTTTCAACAACTTCTTGTTCGCAGTCCAGGCATGCGGTGCGAACGACGCGGTGATATGCTTCCATTGCCCAAAGTTGGCGGTCACTCCTGCTCCGCCCTGCTCTTTTGTCCAAGTAACCAAATGGAAGACAGAACGTATTTCTTCGGAAGGCGTTGCAGCGTCGACGACCGTAGAACTGTCGCCCAGAGGACGCACATGGACGATTCCAAACAACCAGTCTTTGACTCGTGAGCGGTAGACTTCGTTGCCCAGCTTGTTGCGAGGAATCCGGATGATTATGAGGATGGTCGCGCCGTGTCCATGTCGAACTTCTGCCTCCAGACCATAAGCCTCGATATCGCGAGTCAAAGTCTGATACTGATCAATCGCGTGATGAGTCTCNNTAGTAGTACCTTAGCAAAGTACGGCACACTCCAGGGGAAATGCCAATCGTGGCTTACCGATATCCTCACAGTCGTAGAGCAAGACCCAGTCTATCTCAAAGTCCTCATCTCTCACCCTTTCTTCTTGACTGCTGCTTGGTCGACTTGTGGTCAACTGCATTCTATTAAGATGCCGTTAATGAGAGAAGGGAGCCCATCAGAAAAGAAACATTTGTTGACTCCCTATTCACTGTGGCCTGTGTGCCCGATGTCCACGTAACCCTTCATGCTGCCAAGTAGCGTGTCCGGTAATTCCGCAGGTGCGTGCTCTGCCAGATAACAAAGCCGTGGGGATAGTCGGATACGAGCATCCCGCTCGACTGACTCTTTCGCAGAGTCGAAACCTCGAACATGATGAATCAAGTCTTGGCTTGGCTTGGCGTTTGATAGCAAAAGCCGAGTATCCGTCAATGACTTGGACTTTGACAAGGGCTGTTGATATGTACGACCGACAATGGGGATATATCCTTGTGCTAATCCTTGATGTTTTTCTGCTGTTGAGCGTCGGAGTGAAGCGAAAAGGAGGAAGACGAGAATGAAAGCCACAAACATAACCTACCAATGATGATGAGAGGTTGAATGCTTCTGCAGCATGCATCCTGCCTACATATTACTCACTTGCAGGCGTCCCAAGCACTCGATGAAGATAATGAACGAGGCATTTGGAGGGTAATGGTGTAGCGATTCATCCACTAGATGAGCATGTCATGACGGTCTGATTGTCCGGAATGCTCTCGCTTGCATGCGAAGCGATCAGTGGCTCAGAAAATCTCTGTATGGCGCCTGTTCTGGATAATTTGCAAGTGTTTGGTGACACCAGCTAGTAGGTAGAACGAGACTATCAAGGCGATTGTCGACGATTATTGCTGTTCAAGAATGCTCGAAGAGGGTGCCTATGCGACGATGTCGACCTGCTCGATAGAAGGAATTTCAGAAGCAGAGGCCACTGGATGCTAATGCACCTGCCTCGATGAGCGCCTTTCTGAGCCGTATTGAGCCACGAAAGCGAATTAAGTCAGAAGGGGAGTCGCATGGATTATATACTTGCATCAGAATGTCCGTGCGCCGAGGGCCAGTCTACACAGCCACCCCCATCTTCTTCTGTTCACTCTGCACCTCACTTGATACAATTTATTCATCATTGCCAGCATCATCTTGCTTGACCTGAACTGATCAAATTATGGAGACTCACAGCTCCTTCAAGCCATACGCGGATTAATCGTCTCGTTGCAAGTCATGAGTACAGGAGCGTTCTACAACAATGGCCAGATGTTACCTGCCTATAACGGTATCGGCTTAAATTCACAAACTGTATCGCCGTCAACCAAGTATTATCAAGCTACATACAAGCTTGCCTCTCCGCAACTCTTATCGCAAATTGGTTTGCATAGCTAGTAATCTGATCGTCGGATCATATTGTAGACAGAACGACGAGGCAGAGCTACTCCAACGCATACCTTTCTCCAGGCTTGGAGATCCAAGAGCCAGGAACCAAGATTGCTGCGGTCGCTGGCAGTGTCAAAGAGGTAGCTCCATATCAGGTTCACGATAGTTACAGTGTTTACGAAGGGATTGCCGGAGACTCCATCGCGGGAGAGCACAAAATAATGATAGAGGACGGGGATCCAAAGACACGGGCAACCGTCTGGGATGCGTAAACAGATTGCAGGACAGTGTCATGACCAAATGATATAGCTTGGAGGGATATCAAGTGGATGAGAAGGGACGAGCAGTGAGGGAATAATGACGAGGATAAGAAGGAGCAACATTTCATTCTCTTGGTTGGGAAATGGAAGACAGAAACGAACAAAAGCGGAACAATTATTTATTGGACACCTTCCTCGTATCTCGTTGTTGCAGAGGTACATCTTCCAGGTAACAGTCAGTCGCTCCTTCTTCATTGACCGAAACGCTTTGCGACTGTGTCCATCACGGCCTCCACCTCAGACTCAGTAGCGATAGCGACATCCTTCTGCTCATTCTCTGACTTCTTGTGACTACTGCCACTGACCTTTTTGTCCATCTTGTTCTCACTGTCCTTGGGACATTCGGAGTTGAGAGCGCCAGAACCAGAGGTAGAGTCACCAGTGATGAGAGAATGAGTGGACTCAGGGGCAAGGGCCTTGTTTTGGGTTTGCTTGGCCTTCTTGAGAATAGTCTTCTTCTGACGCTTCGAAAGCTTGGGCTGAGTGGAAGTCGGGACTGCGGTAGTATTGGGGTCGGCGTTGCTCGACTCGCCATCCTCAGTCATGGTGTGTGTATCATCTCGAACAGACAAGCCAGCAAGACCGCCCTCGACATCCTCCTTGGCCTCTGACTTCTTGTGCTCGAGCTCAGCCTTTTCAGCTTGAGCCCTCTCCTTCTTGCGCAAGTACTTTTTCTTGTTCTTTGCCTTTTTCTTTTGCTTTTCCTCTTCGGTGGGTGATTCTTCGTCGCTGTCGAGTTCCCAGATGCGCTGTTCTTGCTGCTCAGGCTCAGGCGAATCTCTTTCGGCGTGGAAGAGGATGCCGGAGTGGCCGTCAATCACGTCGGCGATCATGGAGGAGAACATGTCGTTTCTGTAGCCTTCTCGCANTCTGGACACGGTCAGTGAGGGATATAGGTAAGAAGGCTTTGCAAAACTTACGTAGTGTTCGCGCAGGCTGGAGATGGGAATCCCACGGAATGATGCCATGGTGAAAAGTCCAGTGAGTGCAACAAGTCGTGGTGATGGAGAAACGAAGATGTGATTGTCGAGTGGTAAATCGGTGAGTGTGACGAGTGACAGTTGGGCATCCAAACGACAACACAAACGAGCAAACGCCGAGGAACAACACGACCAACTCAGGAAATTGCACGGTCAGATGGATTCTTGCTATTGATGGCGAATATAGTGTCATAATTCCAAGAGCCCTTCACTGAGGGATCCTTGTAGGACTTCATCATTCTTCGGTGCCTCATTGTTCTCCTGTCTACCCGCATGCTGAAATCTGTGACTCCACCTTTCTCCCACGAAAATGTAGAGCGATTTGTGCACTATGAAAAGACACAAATGTATTCGTAGCAGAAGAAGGGCCAAAGAGAGCTACTGAAAAGTCGGCTCTCAGTGGATACTGCCCTGTTTCTTGATACAATCATGTCTTTCTATAGTTACATGCGTTATAACCTTTAGCACTCGGAGAGGTCGGGGTCGTTGTTTACACCCGGGCCTCATCATTCTCATGTGCTTCGCCACCCTCCTGTGCTCCATCTTTCTCTCAGGCCTGAGCATTCTCTTCGTGTGCGTCGTCATTGGTCTTCGGTCGACTGTTTGGATCCTCATCGTTGTGTTGCTGCAAGTTTGCATCATTGCCCTGTGGTGTATGTTGATTGTTCTGCTGCAGACCTTGATTGGTACTCTGCTGCTCCTTTCTCCTCATGGCCCTGTTCTTGTTCTTGTTCTTGTTATTGGGCTTCTTCTTGACGCCCAGCAGCTTTCTCAGACGACCTGCGGTGATTAGGATTGACTGTCGCTCAGTGTCGAGGCGGCGCCACATCTCCATGTCGTCTTTTGCTCCAGCTTGCGCAAGGCTGATGAGCTTGTGTGCGATTTCGAGATCTTCGGTCGTGTAGGTCACGGTACCCGCAGGCGTGGAGGATTCGATGCCGTCGGTGATCTTCTTGCAGTAAGCATCAATATCCTCTTCTCTCTGCTTGATTCTTGTGCCGAAGGCTACAAGAGAACATTCTAGAATGGCGTCTTCTTCTTCAAGTCGTTGGAAATGCACCAACATTTCGAGCTCAACCGGAGATGTGTAGTTCGCCTAAAGAGAAGTCAGAAGTGATTTGTGCAATCTGTTCAGGTATTCCTCGCCTGTGGATATGCAGTTGGGCGATGTGCTAGTCGTGGTAGGAAGCGTTGTNNAGGACATCCCAAGGCCTTGTAGGCATGCGAGCGAGATCGTTGTCATNNTCAAGCCAGTCTCGCACCAATCCTCTAGAGATCTTGTCCTGGCAATCAGGTCGAGATACACATGTTCCGGTGTTCGTTTCGCGGTGCATCTGCACAGGACCTGCAGCCAGAGGAAGGCACCAGCATCAAGTCCTCCAGCGCGGGACAGATGCAGCAAGCATTCCTGAGAGGCCAACCATTTGAGGACCTGTGATTGTATTAGTAAGAACGGCGCTACATAGCAGACGCAAGCTTGTACCTCTGCCTCTTGCCAGTGGGGAGTAAGAATCCCCAGCCAGAGAGTCAAGCGAATTCTGTCAAGCGCGAGTGTGTTTTTGCTATTCGCAAGCATGGTCCGAATCTTGCAGATAACTACGCCGATGGAGTGGTCAGGCTCAAGATCCTCGTCCGCAAGGCGTACAAGTCGTTCCACCCAATTGTGTTCCTGTTCTTCTTCTGTCAGGTAGTAATCTGATTCGATCACCATACGGATGTGCTTGAACCATCTTAGGTCCTGTCGAAAGTCCTCCGTGTTCACCACTTCCATGATACTGGCAGCGAAGCAAGGTGTATGTAGGCAGGGTAAGGTGCTGTTGGCAACCAGAGCAGAAGAATGTGTAAGCAATGGAGTTTAAGCTGATGTTGTTAGAGCTAATCCAGAAGTAGGCGGTTGTTTTGAGCAATAAAGGATAAAGCGGCATCGTTTGTGGATAGTGATCTCGTAGAGCTTTCCAGACAACCCCGAAACGATCTCAGTGCGGATCCAGATCCGGAGAACATTGGAGTCCTGTCTTTCATGTGCCGAAAGCAAACTTACAAGTCTGTGTATGTCGGCAGTCAAGTTCATATGCCAGGCTTCCATGGCTGACATGTTCGAAAGCAGAAGACACAGCGTACATATCGTTAACCTTTGTGGTAATACCTATCACTTTCGATGCGGGCGAGTCAACAAAGTCAGAGCGTCTGGAGAGATCGTTTTTCTAGACGTGTGGTATACAGGGGTGTCCCAATTTCTCTTGTTTGTTCTAAAGCTTGCAGAAGTCAATGGCAGCAGGTGCAGTCGGTCATTAGGAAGGCTTAGTTTACCGACGATTAACCGATGACCAGAGAGCCCGAGCTTCGCTGTTCGAAGGTGACCTGACAAGCTACGAAACGTGACATGGCCTGACAGGCTGCATGAGTAGAACTCGTTGATATACAGTCTATTCAACACCATGAAGTTTCGTGAACTTTCTTCAAGGCAGGTTGAATGTCTCGTCTGTTTGTATTTACGATTACAGTTCTGGCAATATCTCTGTTGTTTGCCAATAAATCCTCCGACGGGATGACTACCGCCAACAAAGATCAACAATGGGCGGACAGTCCTTGCGAGCTGGTTCATACACCGCAGTTTCTGACCAAGAAGGAAGATATCTGGACAAAAGGCGCGACACACATGGCACTGCTGCACAATGCCATCCTTCGCGGCTTCAACAGCATATACCTCCAAGCGCCCTATGTCAAAGCTGAGGACTATGCTGCTTTTATTGGATACAGTCTAGCCTGGTATCGATTTGTCAAGGGCCACCACGACGACGAAGAAGCGGAGCTGTTTCCGAAGGTCGACGATATCTTGAAAGAGAAGGGCACATGGGACGAGACACATCAAGAGCATNNGGTACGAAATACGTGTAACAGAAGAGATAGAGAGCAGTGCTAACAATCTACCAAAGAATCATTCCTCGATGGCCTTACGACTTTCCAGAATTATCTGGACACCCTTCCCACAACCTCCTCATCCGACGGCACCAAGCTGGTCACTATCATGGACACCTTCCGAGAATCTTTCGTACATCATTTCCACTACGAAATCTCCACCATTGCTTCCTTTGCGAGCCTGCCTAATGCGCCTCCCGCCGACTCTCCGGAAGCCTTTGCTGCTGCTGCGATATTCAAAGCTTGGGGAAAGAAGACTCTCACCAAGGCCGGCATGACTGATGTCGTACCATTCGCTCTCCTCAACCTGGACAGAACCTTCGAAGATGGCATATGGGCTGCCTGGCCGCCTATGCCTGGTCCTGTCAGATGGATGATGGTCAACATGTTCGGCAGCTGGAATTGGAATTGGTGGAAGTTTGCAAGCTGCGATGCTCAAGGTAACCCCAGACCACTCTATGCACGCAGATATCAGGAGATGTAGTAGAATACATGATTTGTTCTCGGTTCTCGGCCTTCCAACAACACCACGACGCTCATAGCACAGTTATGAGCCGTTCTTCAAGACCCATCGCGTCCATGTGCGAAGTGTATGCTTCCTCTGCGAAAGCTTTGCAAGAGCTGCAAGGTCGCCCAGTGGGGCACCTTCGACTAGGGCAGTCTATCCGAAATTTAAGCACCGCTCCTCTGTGCTTCGCTAAGGAATTGAACTTGGCCAGCTTCTTTGCAAGTACCCAGTGGCAGATGCTGGAACCAGGTGTCTTGATGCTCTGCTGGTCACACGGAGGGTAACGGCCTCCGATTCCGGTCTCTGCCGTGATTGTGCAAAATTGGTAGATTTCGCGAGTGATCTGTGGATGAGTCCGCAGTATTGACTGCAAGGTTTCGTGCTGAGGGAGGCGCGAGTCAACTGTGTAGCAGACTACATTCGTTGTAATTTCCTTGTAGATCATCATCCGTAACTCTAGCGGTAAGTCCAGAAAGCCTGTTGGCCGCGAGCTGCTGGACTCTGGAGATGGCGATAGTATTGTTTGTGAAGCCATGGTATGCACTCGTTTTTGATGTCGCTTTTTGTTATGGGACACGTATCGCGAATGGGAAAACTTCTCGAGCTGAAGAGAGAGGAGGAAGGAGCAGACTCCTGAGAGGACGAACAACATGTTCGTGGTTGCTGCCTATTTTCTGATGACTCCATGAAATGGCCGCATTCAAGCTTTGCCACGTTTTGACGACCAGACTAAGTCAGAAATGGCTCAACAGACTTGGAGTATCTCAGAATGCGCCATCTTGTGCCTCGTCTTCCCTCTCATTGTACGCAGAGAAAGACGCTTGACCATTCACAAAGGTTGTTTATGCTGTATGACAAGGTGTACGGCAAGAGCGAGCCAGACGATTTTGATACATTTGTGATTTCTGTACAGTTGCTTCCCTTTCTTAGAATTATAGCTCAAATAATCTCGCCTTGCGCGCTTCTGAGATGATCTTTTGCTGAGCATCCGGAATTTCTTTCCAGCACATCAGATCTTCTAGCGTCCCATTTGGAACCTAGTCTATAATTTCGTCATTCCAAACCATATACCTCATTGCCTTTCTCTCAAGTTTCCATCTGTCCGCAGTGGCATTCATCACTTTGTGCAGCCTAATATCCAGCTCAGTCGAGTAGCTTTTGTGGCCCAGGAAGAATACTCAAGTCTGCTCAACAAAATTTCGGTAACATGTATTCTGCAGACTATCTAAGGACGACCAGCTCAGATTACTTTCTCCGCCTCTTCTGGCCTCTTCATCTTGTTTCATCAAAAAATTGGAATACCTTTCCCCAACCATCCATCACTAATGAGACCGTCTGTTGCCTCCAGTCTCCTCAACGCCTTGTTTCTGACGCGCGTTCTGTAGCTACACGGTGTCTGTAAGCTTTCATGTATGACCAGTGAGAATACTCATAGCAGTGCTCATGACTTGCTCATAGTTTTCCTGAGTCAGAAGCCACTCAGAGCCCTTGTCCGCGACCATTTCCCAAAGGTCGCTGTAGTCAGCTGCCGACGTCTTCAACCATGCCAGCACCAATGCAGTAGCCAGCGTTGGGTCCTCTTGGGCCCCAGCGTTCCTGATCTTGACAATGACTGAGGCAAAGAAGGTGTAAAGAGCCTCGTTCCAGTCCCAGTGACCATCGAACGACTGAAGGTCAAGAAGAGCTCTGACTGCTGCCAAGATATCATTGGTAGGAATGACAAGAGCGTCTTCAGTACCAGGAGGAGCGCGGCCTAGGAGAGGAGAAGCAGCCGAAGATGCCAAGATAGAAGTGTTGAACAAGGCAGTGGCTGAAGACGAGATAGAAGGAGCGCCGTGTGGGAAAGAAGGAGCTGCCGGCGCATATGCACGAGGAGCAGGAGGAGGAGGAGAAGGAGCGGCAAAGGAAGGAGCAGCTTTCGGCATCTCCATTGAGCCGAAGAGACCATGACTTGTTGACTTTGACATGTCAAGCACCGGGTTCATAGCGAATTGAGGTTGGCCCATGGACATAGCCTGAGACTGCAGCATCACAGGTGGCGGTGCTGACTTCAGAGCCATACCACTGCGACCACCACCGCGACCACTACCACGGTCACGGTCACGACCTCCACCGAAAAAGCCTCTACTGATGGGACTGGGTGGAGAGGGCATAGCTCGGCGGCGGTATCGAATGCCTGACATGACGTGAATTGACGCATCAGATTCCTGAACCACATCTTCTTGAGCTTTGGTTTCGACGGTGCTCCTGCCTTTCTGGTCGGGCTCAACAGCAACAAACGAGCACCATTTGTTGGCAACTTGGTAGTCAATGCCGAGGCGGACGACTTCCTTTTCGAGCAATTCGTCGAAGCGGGAGGAGTGTTTATCCTTGATGAGCTCATTACCCTCCTGTGCGGTTGTTAACCAGCCCCTGCCTTCTTCAAGCTCTTGGATAACCTTCTTGGCCGCGAGAGTGTTGATGGTGTAGTCGGGATTGTCGGTTCTCTTTATGGTTATCTCCAATGTTAGTGGGCCCTCTGGACAGGTACCGTGCAGAACGACAGACTTAGGAGTCTTGCTCGTTTCCTGTAAGAGCAGATACACAGTAGTGCGGTTGAAGGGCAACAGGGCAGGGATAACATTGGGTGCTTGGATGGTTTCGGGTACAGCAACGCCAGGAAGATGAGCATAGCGATCAGAATTCTCGTCGGGGGCATCAGTGAGGTTGACAGACTGGTCGAACAGTGATATGGACGTCTTGGGCTGGTTTACGGAGACAGATGCGTCTACCGCCTGAGTAGGAACTACACTCTCGACCATCTCAAAATCATCCGTCTCATCATACTTGACCTCCAAGCGGTAATCCTTGACATGGGGATACAAAGCAGCTTTGAGCATACGTACAACCTTGAAGTCCATGACTTCGCCGTCAGTGATGAACTGGGCGATACCATTACCAGCGCGAGCAAAGCCTTCGACCAAAGTGTGAGAGACATCACGACCAACACCGAGCACGAAGCAACGGACATCGACTTTCTTGTCGTGGATCTGGCTGTTGACATAATCAAACAGCTGAGACTCTGCATAAATCTCGCCATCGGTTAAGACAACGAGCTCGAGGGGCATATCGCGGAGGTGCGATTTGAAGGCGGCTTTGACGGGTTGCANGAGTTCTGTGCCACCATAGTTGGCGCCAAATCCTTGCACGAAGTTGAGAGCATGACTGAAGTTTTCTTGGTTGTAGGAAACGCTCTTCTCCCAAAGGAACTTGTGGTGTGATCCGAAAGCGCAGATATTGAAGCGGACTCCAGCTGGCAAAGACTTGAGGAACGTCTTAAGAGCGGCAACAAGAGCAGTATTCTTGGCACCTGACATACTGCCACTCTGATCTGCGATGAAGATAATTTCTGGTCTGATAGATTTGAGGTTGAAGCGCGGCACGAATGTTGCCATGAGAGCTTGACGACCAGGCAGGGAATGCTTCTCGAGGATGGCCTTCGGAGAACCAATGTCGTCAACCAGGATTTGCAAGACGAAATCTGAACCGAGCTCGGTTGTGTTGTGAGTCAAGGAGACAGATGCCTTTGAGATGTTGAAGGTAGAGTGAGGAGCGGTCGACAGAGTTCCGATATCCAAAGCGATGGAGTGGCTGGAGGGACACTGGACTTTGCGGATGTTCGAGCCTGCCATGTCGATATCGACAGTAATCTTCATGTTCTTGGGGATGGCTGAATCAAGTTTGAGGAGTTCGCCAGGGTAGTTGCCGTACCGAGGAGCGATCGAGGTTGGAAGAATGTAGCGCAAGCCATCGATCTGAGCATCGTGCTTGAGCTCGCCTCCATAGGTGATGTCGACTTGGATTGGAGCGTCGACAGGGATGTTTCCAAGGGTGACTCCGAAGACGCCGGTAGGAAGGGACTCGAGAAGACCAGCAGTTTCACCTCTGCTGACAGCGTCATCAAAGGTCTTGCGAGCTTGCTCTTTTTGCTCAACATGGCCCTTTATGATCTTGTCACCGATAGTGCAGGTGAAGGCAGTCACGACGACACCGTCGTACAGGGGGAATGTGTAGCGAGTTTCCGGAAGTTGGCGTCCAGAGGGATTTTGAAAAGTCTGCGAGAGTCTGGTGGTGAAGTAAAGAGGGGTGATGGTGGTGTGGGAGTCCAGGTGGACTTGAGGGAGATAGCTGCGATTGTAGTAGGAGGATGTGTAGTAACAGCCACAAATGTGGTTGCCGAAGACAGACATGGTGATCAAGTCTCGGTTGGAGATGAGATGAGATGGAAAGACTTGTGATTTATGATAGGTATTTAAGTTGGAGGAAGGAGTTGGAAGATGGGGGTGAGGTGTTTGCTATCTGAGCCTGCCTAGGGTAGATACAAAGCTAAGTGAGAAGTGTCTGGAAGTTGAATGAGAAGAAACAAAGAGTTGGATGGAAAGAGCTAGACCTACGTTGCGGGTGGGTACTTTTATAGGCAGGCAGTCGCATTGATGTCTGAGCATGTCACGGGATGCTGCCTAGATTGTGAACACGAATGCATTTGTTTTCGATGACCTCTTTGTGCTCGTCCCACATGAAATTCTTTAGAGGGGGCCAGAATGGCACAATACATGATGAAGACAATGCTGGAAAGTGAGCAGCTCTTGCAAGACATGGGTTGAGCAATCACAAAAGCCGTGCAGGAACAGGTCGGGAGGCGACTGCAGAAGACTGACAGCGACAAAGCAGGCAACTGCGGTGTCTCGAAGCTTGATAAGTCAGCAAATGCCAAGAGGCTTCTCCGCAAGTTCAAGCAGGTCCGAGCTCCGGACCTTCACATGCGAGTGACGAACAGGGAGCGACGGCGACGCGACTCACAGCACAAAGACACAGCAACATGGCGCCGGCAGTCGTCAAGGATGAGGCTGCGTCTACAGCCAAGCGCAAAGCCGAGTCGCCCGACGGGTCCGTAGCCGACAGCAAGCGCTTCAAGTCGTCGACCTCACCCACACCCACACTCGCACACGACACCGGAGACGCCATCCAGTCGACAGCACCTCGCGTCGTGCCCTTTCCCGAGAAGCCCGCTGTCATCGAGGAGCGCAATGGCGAGATCGAGTTTCGAGCAGTCAACAACGACGGCGACCACGAGAGCTACATCATCCTGACGGGGCTCAAATGTATCTTCCAGAAACAACTGCCTAAGATGCCCAAAGACTACATTGCCCGCCTCGTCTACGACCGCACCCACCTGTCCATGGCCATCGTCAAGAAACCACTGGAAGTCGTGGGTGGCATCACCTACCGGCCCTTCAAGGGCCGCCAGTTCGCCGAAATCGTCTTCTGCGCTATAAGCAGCGATCAGCAAGTCAAAGGTTACGGCGCCCACCTCATGTCGCATCTGAAAGACTACGTCAAGGCCACCTCGGACGTCATGCACTTCCTGACCTACGCCGACAACTACGCCATCGGCTACTTCAAAAAGCAAGGCTTCACAAAGGAGATTACCCTCGAACGCCCACGCTGGATGGGCTACATCAAGGATTACGAAGGAGGAACCATCATGCAGTGCAGTATGCTTCCTAAGATCCGCTATCTCGAGTCTGGCCGTCTGCTCCTCAAACAAAAGGCCGCCGTTCATGCAAAGATCAAGGCTGTCTCAAAATCCTTTGAAGTCCATCCTCCACCAGCGCAGTGGAAGGGTCTGAAGAAAGGTGATTCCCTTCCTTCCATCGACCCCCTTACGATAGCTGCCATCAAGGAAACCGGCTGGAGTCTGGACATGGACGCCCTCGCCCGTCAACCCCGCCACAATCCCAACCACTCTCAACTCATGCACCTTCTCTCCGCCCTCCAGAACAGTACCCACGCATGGCCCTTCCTCCAGCCCGTCAACAAAGACGAGGTCCTCGACTACTACGAAGTCATCAAACAGCCCATGGACCTCAGCACCATGGAACAAAAACTCGAAAACGACGCTTACGAAACTCCCGAAGACTTTATCAGGGACGCCACTCTCATCTGCGTCAACTGCAGACGCTACAACGCCGAGCAAACCCCATACCACAAAGCTGCCATCAAGCTGGAGAAAGAGCTGTGGAAAAAGGTCAAGGATGTGCCCGAATGGAGTTATATCGAACAGGAACATTTCGCCGAGGTCGGCAAGTAGAAAGTACAGCTTGCGAGTTGTTTCTTGTGTCCTTCCACGAGGTTTGCTTTGGACTGGCGTTGTGGTTTTGTTGGTGTTTCCTCTTTTTCTTGGCTTTGGCTCTTTCTTCCATTCTTGCGATACCCCCTCCTTGTTTTCTTCTGTCTCTATATCATGACCATAAACTGCTCGGCACGAAACCGAAACACTACTATGAACATGCTTCTCATATTTGCATCTTTGGCTATGTCTGTATTGATTGCCTGGACTGACTGTCCCTGGGTTCTTGTCAAGCAGGTGCCTCTCGTGCTCCCAGCACTTCAAGCTGTCCAAATGCACGATGGTTTGAGAAGAAAAAAGCAATGCCCACTAAGAGCCAATACTCGACAAGGCTCTCTCCGGCCACATCTTCTGTCCTTGGAATTGACTGCGCATTCTGATAGCTTCCCCGTTACTCTGCTGTCTCCGTGGGAGGTCGGGAGGGTTCATCATGATTTGACAGGTAGGTTGCTTCCAACTGTGTACTTTAAAGTACTTTACAAGAACCGTGTAAGAGACTGTGACGGTACACAATGCTTTCCAGGAGAGAACAGTTTTCTTGATGAACATCCTTACACTTTCGGAATCAGTCCGTTCACAAGGAGATGGACTCGCTCCCTTGTCTCTAAAGCCATGGTGTTCCACTGTGAGCCGTCACAATCTATTATATGCTTCCAGCAACTCGACGGCCATGATTGTAAACTTCTACCACAATACGCACGACTAATTGAACGACTAAGCAGACGACTAAGCCAGGCAGCGATGCCCAGATATAAAACCAACCATCCCACGTGACATACTTCCTTTTCTCCCACCACGGACAGCAACCACAATGTCTTCCTCCCACCCCAACCCCATCGAAAACCAATCAACCTTCTGCCTTTGGTTTCACCCACTGCTACGTTGGCTGCATTTCCCCCTGGCACAATCAATCAAACCCTTTGACTCAAACAACTTTCCTTCTCTCATCGTTTGAAGACGACTTGTATGCAGACACGACACACATCAATGACAAAGATGTCAAGATCTGGAGACTGGATCTCCTGAGCAACAGTGATGGGGATGAGACAAAGAGAAGCAACAACGACGAAGATACTGCTGCTACAGAGGACAGAATGGATGGATTTTTGAATGCCATCGAGAAGGAGTGTGAAAAGTTGTTTGGTGAGATATCCTCCTTTACTCTTTTCCTTGCCCTTTGACTTGTCTGCAACGATAACATACAGCACCATGATCAACTATAAAAAATCACAATAGTGTCAAGACTCACAGCAAATGTCTAGAGAAGCGCAACAAACCCTATGCCTCTCGCTGGACACACATCCCACTTCTCAACACTATCCTGCACTTCTCCAACTACAAAATAAAAAGCTAACATCAAAAAAACAAAACAAGGCCACACAACCACTCGCATCTTCTACACAAACCCCAACGACGCCGCCAACGACACAACCACCCCTCCAGCAGCAGGCACCCACATCCTCAGCAATCCCACCGACAAGATGAAGAGCCTGCCTTTCGGTTATGCATTGATGCACAGAAGTCGCGGTAACGACACCAACCGCAAGGGAGATTTGTATCTCTGGGGTCATCCGTCGGGCTTGGGATTCAACTCGGCGGCAAAGTTTGTCAAGCATCTCAAGTGGCTGATCGAGGGTCAAGTGGGTGATTGTGATTGTTCTCTGTGCCAAAAAGCAGCGTTGATGACATGAAGGAGAGGTCGAGGGGGAGAGGGAGAACTTTGCGTAGCCGGAAGAATGGAGCATCACGTGGCGGAAGATATGCCAGCCCACAGGGCGAAACAACATCACAGAGTCTGAACGCTGAACAGTCAAAGAGTCTTAAGACATTAACCAAGTTTTCATTGCTGCTAGAACGAGTAAGAAGAAAAAGAGAACGAAACTTGAATCGAGCCCATCCTTGTCCCAAGCCCAGATCGATCGAAAACGCCACGCCTGTAGAAAGAGAAAAAACAAAAAGACAAAGAGGTATCGAGAAGAAAGGGTATGAAGAAGAAGAGACAGAAGAATAATAACATGAAGAAGAGTGATGAAGTGTCGGAGGGCATAACAATGGTCGGTAACAGCGAGAGAATAGAAAGTAGATGGTATCATCCATCACCTCAAGCGATGGACTTCTGGTCTTCCGATGAATCACAGTCTCTTGCCAGGGACGAAGATGAAGAGACAGCAGACGGCAGCATCAATGATGGCAATCCACATAAGACACATCATGGTACGACGCGTCAGCAGGCGGTGGACGAAGTTTTCCTTGACCTTGAAGTAATTGGCAAAGGTGTACTCCGAGTAGCCCAGGAGCGCCTGGATGGGATCGAGCATGTACTGGTGTGAGACGAGGAAGTAGATGGCAACGGTGAAGGGCAAGATGACCTGGGAGCTGATCAGTAAACGTGTCGAAGGAAGAGAAGAGAGTCGACTTACCCAGCATCTTGTGCTTCTGCTCATGTCGAGGAAGATGAGGACAAAAGCGGTCCAGATGGCAGCAAACAAAGCGACCAGACCGACGACCAGTCTCAACATCATGCTGGGCTGTACTATGTTGCCCAGAGCCTTTGCGCGGAGGAACCCAGGGAAGGCATCGCGCTCCATGGCTTGGAAGACGTAGTCCTTTGCGTTATCAAAGACTTCTGGGTCGTCGCGGCCTTGGTTCTCGATCGAGTCGGTGACCTGCTCAAGGATGCCGACGGGAATGATAATTTCGCGTTCCGAGCCTTGCAGCAGGTACGTGTACAAGATCTTCTCGGCGCTGGCACGGATGTCCTGTCTGGAAACGGTAGTACCGGTAGGAGACTGATCCTGGGTGTAGGGGCTGGTGTCTTGGGTGCTGTCGACCATGCTACGGCGATTGTTTTGTTGATCGAAGTTGTTGCTACCAAGAGATTGGCTTGGCGAGTGCATGCTGCCGTTGTCGCCGCGCAAGAAGGCAGACACACGAGTGTCCTTGTCAGCGCTGGGGCCGGCCATGACGCTATCATCGTAGTGGTCCAGGACTTGCGAACTACGCTTGCTGCCACTCTTCTCCAGCTCGGGGGTTTCTGCTAGCACACTACGATGAAGACCGCGGACATAGTGTCGGCATAGCGACATGTGTTGTGATACGTCCAGCCTGTGAGTTTGGGTTAGTTTTGGTGTGTGTTTTCAGGCGACCAAGGGAATTGATGTGTACCAGAAGTCGAGGTAGTCGACGCTGCGTTGAGCATCGCGCATGTAAATGTAGAAACTGAACAGGTCGACGGGTGGTTTTGTCTGGCGACTTAGGACTTCGTATAGATTGGGCAGGCGGTTGCGCTGGATAGTAATGTCGGGCGTGGGCGTTCGGTGCGCCATTGTTATGTCTAGTGATGTTGAGTTGACGTGTCGCACGCCTGGATGTCGTTGGCGACGAGTCTTGTCGCGCCTTGGGTAATTGAATGGGCTATGGCGGATTGATGTTGTTGAGATTTGACGAGATTGAGCGAATGTTGCGGTCGGAAGAAAATAGCGGCGTCGAAAAGGAAGGTGAAGAGAGTCGGAGAGTGAAATGAATTGTCGTTTGTTCGTTGGCCGCCTTCACTCGTTCCTTCCCTGTCAAGGGAGTTCGCGCTCTCCCCAGAGCTGGTCCGAGCGCCCATCACCTGCATGACATACACACGCACATCATCCCCTAACTGTGGAGACGCATAAACAATCACAAACGAGTCGGTATAACTTTGTTCGGCATTATTACTCGTCTGATCTAAACATTACTGACGGCCGCCTTGGGTATATACAATGTTACATCTTTTCAACCTCCAACCACCTAAGGGCTACCCGCCAACTTGGCAGTCAGCGGCGGTAGAGGGCAAGTCTCTCCATCCTCCTCGGTACCGTACACGACGTAATTCTGCTGCATGCCAAACAGGTTGTGACTGCTGACATGGCACAACAATTGCCACACACCAGGAAGCTGAGCATTCATGTTGAAAGTAAACATCTCACCAGCATTGATGCTCTGACTAGCTTGCCAGATATCGTTGTACTGGAAGTTGTTTCCGTGCAAGTGGAAAACATGAGAAGCTCCACCGAACGCCATCACGTACCAGATGACAGGATCGTTGCGGCACATCTCGTAAGGTGCGCCGTTGCCAAACACATATCCGTTCATTGTGTAGAAGTTGGGTCCTTGAGCATCGCTGAGCTGGATAGCAGGGAAGTTGGTCAACTGGGGCACCCAGAAGGACTCATTGCCGATGTAGGGTTGGACGAGCTGGTTGGTCGCACGAAGACTGCTGGTATCAACACCAGCATTCTTTGCGTTGGTGCCGGCCATAAAGGAGCGAGCCTCGTAGTGAGTGTTGGTTGTCACGACGAATTCACGGTGGGCCGACATCGTGCTGTTCATCTCGCCGCTGTTGTATACGATCAGAGGACCAGAAAGACCAGCAGACAGATCAGCAGGCATGTTGACGAAACTGTGGTATGACCAGAGACGACTGCTCTGACCAGGGGCCGGTGCCTGCGAGTCTGAGATAATCCACTTGTAAACCGCACAGCCACCGGGAGGAACGGCGTCCTGCTCTTGCACGTTGGGCGAGCCACCATCGGTCGTGTTGGGGTACAGGGAACCCTCATACTGCTTGCCGTAATAGAGACCCATGCTGTGCATCGATGCGTAGTGGTTGGAAAGATTGTTGACGAACATGATCTGGATCATGTCCCCGACCTCACCTCGCAAGATGGGACCATTGATACCATTGTGGGCAGGTTGTTCGGTTTGGTTGGTGAAGCTGTTGTCCGTGTAGCCCTTGTACACGGCCTTTTGGAATTCCATACCCCAGCTTGCACCGATGGAACCAGTAAGGTTGAGATAGCCAGCTGCTGCGGCGTGGGGAGAGTTCTGAACAGGCACGCCAAGCCAGTTGTCCCAACCACTGGGTGCATAGTTCCAGGCCACTTCCTCAGCAGTGACGTAGTAGGTTCTAACATTGCCAGAGAACTTGAAGTCGGTAGGAACGCTGCTCTTTCCAGGTAGTTGGCTATCCATGAGAGCCTCACATTCGTTTCGCGCCGCTAGCTTGGATTGGTCTGGAGTGGTGCTGTTTGGTGCGATGTACAGTATACCTCCATTAGGACTGATGGAGGCTGCGGCGGCATCGACGGTAGATGTTGCGTTGGAAGATACGATGCCAGGCGTGGCACTCAAGGTGCCATTTGGCAAACCAGTCGAGAGAGCCGGCGATTGGATTTGGCCATCAGATATTTGAGTAACAGGCTGAGCTGCATTCGATGTGGGAGATCCTGATGAAGCAGGACTAGCACTGAGGATCACCGAAGTGGTAGCAGAAGCGACTGTGACTTCAGCGTTGACATTGTCTGACAATGACTGAGCGAAGGAACGAGTGACAAGACCACCTAGAGTGGCCAGGATGAGTGTAGAAGGAACCATCTCTGTGAAACGAGTGAAGAGATGCTATGAAGGAGCTTAGTAAAACAAGCACGGATTCAGGCAGAGATGCGCGCTGCTAATATAGGCATTGCACCTCCTAGCCATCACAGAAAATCTCTCTCGTGTGTTACATCTATGGGTCGCGTGGGAAGGCAGGGACTACGATGCATCTGCATGGTTGGGAAAAGGAATCATACCCACCATAGCACACACAACCCACAAACAGTCGACAAGAGATCAAGGAACCTAGGAACGGGATGATGCATACACGGCCATGTCCAGGCACTTCTGACGCATTGAGAGGGCTGGGAAAGAGGTCTCAACAGCAAGCGACGTGCGAGTAGTGGTGGAGCAATGCTCGACTCGGCCCGCGGCTCTGCGATTAGGACAACCCGTGGGGGGAGCCGAAGAAGTCTGTCCCAGCCTGGCGTTTCTTGATCTGGATAGAGTTGTAGATCCAGGGGAGAGTGGGCAGAAGAAACGGAGTGGTTACTGGTGATGCTCTTCGTGGCTGGTGGAAAGCTGAGAATATTGGGTGGTTGCTTAGGCGGGAAGAATAGAGTTTGATGCATGCATATGCACTGTGGCTGGTTACAGTGGCAGCCAGGCACAACAAAGGTGCCGTACAACCTTGTCAAACTCAGGCCATAATAATTCAGGCTCGCCAGTAACCACTGTGCGCGTCATGTTGTCGTACGTGGTCGACCTGTGGTGAACCTCCTTCTCACCGTGAGAGAGGAGAAAGACCATTGTCGTCGCCCACCTTCTCAAGTGGACTTGGTCGAGGCAAGAACGGAACGCTATCCGTATCGATGATGCTCTCTTCGGCGAGCACGGTCAAGCAGTCATTCGGCATGTCCATCCGAGCAGGAAGAGAGTGGGCACATTGAGGGCAAGTTCAGTGGAGACTCGAGGGTCAACAGGCAGGAAGCATGGACTCTTTTGGTGGAGCGTTTCGTTCTTGGCGTTTGCTTCAACTTCATGTCACGAACCGATCTTGCTTCTTCCCGTCATCACACACTCTGCTTTCTATCATCCTCGCTTGCGGCTTCTTATCGAACTATCCTGCCGTGCTTACTAACAAACATAGACCCGCCCACTGACTAACGAGTTGAGGCTCGAGGACTCACTAAATCTTCTAGGCAAGATCTCACTAAGCGAGTGGAGAGGCAGAAACGAGTGAATGATCACGTCTTGGAGACTCTATGTGCCTCCTGTTCTTACCTAAGCACCGATAATACTGATCTCGTTCACTTTTCGATACTGCGCCTGAATTCGGGATTGCCTCCTTGAGTGTTTTCACAACGTCAACACTTCTTCCAGCTAATCTCATTTGTCCCGTCATCTCTACAACTCAACGTCAGCAAAGATGACGGACATTGGTGAACGTGGCGGTAGCGCAAGACAGAACAGCCCGCATTCGTTTGTCCTAAATCACTCGCATACTGATAAACTACAACATACAGTTCTAGCTTCGGAAGATCAGGTGAGTTCTGATCTTTCCTTCGAACGACCAAGTTGACCCAAGTCAGGAACCCTTCAAATCATCAGCCACTCCTATGCCGTCAAATTCGCAATCATCTGCAGCGGACTCAGTGGAGTCTGCGTTGACTGACCAAGAACAGCTGAACTCTATACACGATCGCTCTAAGAAAGCCCGCAATGATACTCATGGCTTTCAAAAGATCTCCTCGACTGGGAATCACGATTGAATGCTCAGAACTCGGTCGAATCTAATTACATACGCCATCGGCCACTGGGCTTATATGAAAGAGACATCACGACCTTGACTACAGCTGAATTGGATTGCTTGAGCAACGAGCTCCGATACCAGATAGATGTGCTAATCCCGTCGCCATGTGCCAACGCCAGGCAGCTGTATGATGCTTTAGTCGCACACAAGCTGGTGCTCGAAGATCTCATACGCGAGACGGACCTCTTCGAACTAGAGTTCCGCCGCGAATCGAAGCCATGGAAGAAGCCTATTTGTCTCGGCTTCGACGTCAAATATATCGATCGCTTCCTTGACCGCATGCTTAGGTGTATCAGACGGGTTTCCAGATTCATTCCTTTACATATCGACTAAGTTGGCTGTCTACAGCTTGCACAACACACCATCACCCTTCAGCACTGCAAGATGCCCTCGATTTATCTCCTTCACAGTCCGACNATCTAGCACCACGTCAGCATTTTCTCAATACAAGATCCAGACGTGCACTTACCCGGCCAATGCCATGGTCATGCGCAACTCGGCCATCAAGATCTTGACCGCAAGTTCAACACCTTGCTGCCCCTTGTACTGCCCAGAACATCAGTCCCATATTACCCACTTTTTCTTTTGGTTGCAACTTACAGCAAGGCCCCATATCGGCACTCTTCCCATGAATACAAAATCTGCACCCAACGCCAATGCTTTGAAGATGTCACTACCTCTTCTCACGCCACCATCGAACGCAATCGGGATCTTGCCTTTGGCGACAGAAGCACAGTCTCGAAGGCTGTCAAGTGTTGCAGGCACTCCNNCTGAAACAAACATCATAATCAGTAAGTCATCAATTCAGAATGGGTCATGCGTGGCTTACATCGAGCTGACGACCACCTAGTGAGAAGTCGTACAATTAGCTCGGGTTCCACAAACACTGCAATCTTCTAATCTGATCTTACCATGGTTAGAGATCATGATACCATCGACCTTGTGCTGTATCGCTAGAGCGACATCTTCAGGCGATGCGACACCTTTGAGCCATATCTCTAGTTTGGTCTGTGATCGCATCCATGGTATCGCGGTGTGCCATTCAATCGTTGCATCTACNNCACAGTCAGCGAATGAAAGACCGACGAGAAAATCTCGCTGCCCACCATATTCCAGCCCTTCACCCACAGCAGTCAGGTTCGGCCATCGAAGTCCTTCAGGTAGCTCGAATCTATTCTTATGCTCATTCAGTCTTTGCCCAAGTACCGGTACATCCACCGAGAGAAAGATAGCTTTGTACCCAGCAGCTGCATACACGTCAGCCATAGACTCGGTGGCCAGTCCGTTCGTTTACTGACCTTCAGCACGTTTGATAGTATTCGCACACGCCACCTTGTCCTTGATCATAGAGATGTGCATAAAGTACGGGTTTCCGCTGCTCTGAGCTATCACACCTTCAAGACCTCGCGTTGCAAAGACTGATAGACCCATGCAAATATTTGCTTTTGCTGCAGCGCGCGAGGTTGCAAGTTCGCCATCTGGATGAGCTAGTCCATGCATGGCTGCTGGACTAAATCCGAAAGGTGCTGCAGTCTGACCAACAGAGTCAGCATCATCTGAATCACTTCTGACAGGATAATTCTCCGTACTCTNTACACCAAACATCTCTGTCTCGAGATCAATTTGGGCTACGTTGACCAATACTCGAGGTCGGATCTTGTAACGGTTGAAGGCTGCCTCGTTGTCCTTCANGACTGTTCAAACTGAGATGAGCGAGGTTCTTGTTTATGTCTTGAGAGAACCATACGTGATTAAATCCATGGCTCCTTCGTTGTAGTAGTCTACATCGTTATCAGTCGAGTCATTTTTGAGAGTGGTGATATTTCACTCACCTCTATACATTGCCGGCATATCACGGCATGCTGCCTCCTTGAGGTCTGCGATGGTGAGGACATGAGGATCAAGCGTTGGCAAGCGATTCATGATGTTTGCAATACAATAGGTTTTCAGATTATGTAAAGTGTAGTGCAGAAGAGGAAGACTGAAGTACAAGTTATTGTTCCTGCAGCTCCTTATCGCCTCTGTGTAGATTCATGTAGATACCTCTTCTCGGCGTTCGCTTTCCTCCTTCCGAATTCTTGCTAACAAGGCAATTCAATGCCGATAACGTCGGTCTATCTTGACCTACGACACGACATGGAAAATGGCATCTGCTTCTACTGATTCCAGCTCCCATTGATTTATCATCAGATCTCGCTGCTGCCGGAACCTATCAATACATTCGTTCGTCGGATTTTACCTTCCACCATGTACGCACGACGATCTTGCCATCTGTCGCTCCCGCTGAACTGGCATCAGAGATACCTGCTCCTGAATTGGACGGTATATCACGACTCTGTTGACTATCGATATGGTGTCAAATGTATCTCCACCTGCCAACTCATAAGACTGGCTTTGAAACAGATTGAGGATCTGAAAACATCAACACACGTTTGGTGCGAGATTGACACTACACGAACGCGCGCTTCACTGTACAATTCTTGCGACCTTGGCCGTGTATCATCGACAAGGGCCACGGCTTAGCATGCTTATTTCGATTACAATATCTAGTACCATCGCGCCTTCCCAAATCTCAACACTCAGGTTCCTGATCGCGAAGCCGGCTACTCTCGGCCAGCGTCGGCGTTCACGACTCATTCAACGACATCTGCCAAGCTTTCCTGAATCCATGTCTAACGCCACCAAAAAACAAAAAGTTGCTTTTTTCGCCAACGATCTAGAACCACATTCCTTTCGACCCTCTCTTGTATACCGCAGACATGGTGCAAAAGAGAAGCTCCACGTGGGGCTCGAACCCACAGCCTCAAGATTTCAGTCCATCAGGTGGATGATTAGAAGTCTTGCGCGCTACCATTGCGCCAGCAGAGCTGGTTTGTTGAAGACCGCATGAGAGATGTCGCTATATGATGGTTACGACCAGCGTTGAGCAACGCTGGAGTACCAACCAAGTCATCGCTGTCACTCTTACATGTTCACAGACGTACATCAGACAAGCAAAGGACAGGCTTCACTCACAAACAGGTATGCTTACTTACAAACCTGCTACTCAAATCGATGGCGATGTCAGTGCCCTCAATTGATATGGAAAGGACAGGGCAAAGTATATAACTAGCTTCCTCGCAGATCTTCCTCTTATGGTAGACAAAAGTCATTGGACACGGCTAAGTGTCTCCTTTTCTCAGGAAGTTGACATTGTAGCGCGGAGATTCTGTTATTGCCGTAGATGTGTCTGAGGAGAAATCATTTCGTTCATGAGTTGGTTATACGAGTGTTAACAAAGAAGCAATTCTAGGACTGTGAAAATAGTCTGAAGCACTCAAAGCTAGAAACTTCCTGAATTCAGTATACAGAGCAATGAATATATGTTTGGGGTCCGAAGACTTAGAGAGAGAGAGAGAGAGAAGTGCTCCGATTGAGGACAGTTGACTACCAACTAGCCTTACGTAAAATAGGTGTGGTCTCCATGCAGTCTTTGCTTCCTGGGACTGCGAAACGGTTCCTGAGGGTTTGTGAATTGAAATGGTCAAAAAGTTCATGGTCTGGAACGATCGATGGCAGAGATTGTGTATCAAGACGGGTGATGTGACGATAATCAATAACATCGGTCAAAGCGTCTACTCTGGACACTGTTTTCTTGATGGTCGGAGGTGATGACGAGAGGAAGTTGTCATACCGCAAAAGGGTACCAAGAGAGAATCTTGTATCTTCTGAGACAAAGCAAAGGCTTCGATCAACACACGAATCACACGAATCACAACAGGGACATGAATAGAAGTAGTTTCCACAAGGATCCCACACAATTCTCATTGCTATCTCATCCTCAAAACTCAAAGAATCCATCCACAAAATCTTCCTCCCATCAGAATAGTAAACTGCGCTCAAACATCAAACCCAAAGCAATCAAAAAACCGCTTACTTGAGAGCGTTGACAATGGCAGTGTAAGCAGCCTTCTTCTGGAAGCTGCCGTCAAAGAGAAGAGGGCTGTCGCTCTTTCTCCACGACTGGCTGTCGGAAACGCCCCACTCGGTGATGCCAACACAGTTGGAGGTCTGCACACAGGCATTGACAACCTTGACATAGCTGTTGGCATCGGCGCCAGCGAGATCAAGCTCGGTCATTGCGCACTCGGGGGCAGCAGCGCAGACGGCCTTGAAAGCAGCAGGGACATTGTCAGGGTTGTTGAAGGAGCCAGACTTGCCCAAGTGGGTCTGGGAACCGACACCGTCGATGGGGATACCGGCGGCTCTCCACTTCTTGACGTGAGCGATGAAGCCGGTCGTCTTGGAGTAGCTGGCAGAGTCGAGGTTGTAGTCGTTGATGTAGAGCTTGGCGGCGGGGTCGGCGGCGCGGGCGGTCTCGAAGGCGATGCGGATGTAGTCTTCGCCAATGACCTTCATGAAGACGTTTTGGCGGAGGGTGCCGTCCTCGTTGAAGGCCTCGTTGACAACGTCCCAGGCGTAGATCTTGCCCTTGAAGTGGGTCATGACCTGGGTGATGTGGTTCTTCATGACGTTGGTGAGGGTGGTCTTGTCGTTGATGTTCTGGACCCACTGGGGAAGCTGGGAGTACCAGACAAGAGTGTGGCCACGGACGAGGTCGCCGTTCTGGCTGGCAAAGTTGACGAGGTAGTCACCGCCAGCGAAGTTGAATTTGCCCTGAGAGCTTTCGGTGGCATCCCATTTCATGCTGTTCTCGGGGGTAACCTGACCGAAATCGGCCTTGACGATGGCAGCAGTCTGGGCGTTACCGAGAGTGCCCTGGTCAGCGGCAGTACCGAAATACTTCTTGCCCTTGGCCTGGAAGAGTCTGTTCAGGCTGTCGGAGGGCTGAGAAGAGCCGGCCTTGTTGGTGGTGGAGACAGGGGCCTTGGTAGCAGCAGAGGTGGTCTGAACGGTAGCGGGCTGGGAGGTCACAGCGGGAGCGGAGCTGGCGGCACCGGGAACACACTGGGAGTAGTAGGTGTTCGACTCGGCACAGTGGTAGCCAGCAACGCAAGTAGTAGAGCCGGTGAAGCCTTGACCACCGCACTGAGCGTAGGCATCGGCTCTCTTGACGTGAGCAGGGCCAGCAGAGGCCAGAGATGCCGCAAGGACGATGGAGGAGAGAGTGGCGGTAGAGATATACATCTTGGAGAGATAGTTGTGTGGTAAAGAAGGAGAAAGGTCTTAGCGAGTGACTTTGTTGCTGGTAGCAATCAAGGATAAAGAACTTGTTGGTAAAAAGCGACTGCCAGAGCCTGCTGTAGAGTAGAGAAAGTGTTGTGGATGAAGGTGATGAGAGAAGAATCGATTCCACATAGGATGAACCTCACCTTTTATATATCCATTCTCACATCTGAGCGTGCCTTCTAGGCTCATCGCCTCGCCTGCTATATCCATGCTCGACTCACTGAACGCACTTACATTGGCGTATGCCCTTGGAGGGTTCCGCTATTGGACGAGCGACGTTTCGTCGCGAGAAGCGATGGCTTGGCTGTGGTTAAAGTGTTTGAGGTTGACAGAAAGGAGGGTTGCCGAAGCGAACGGGTCCGTGCTGGGCAAGATGAGACATGGAACTTGAGCCTCGCTGGTGATCACCCTAACCTTTCTGCGTACTTTTGCTCCAAGCGTTCGTCCTTAAGCATATTAGCATCTCGTCCGGACTCGGGCGAGATGTCGTTATTGCGACGGAGGCTGCACATCACCCGTAATGAAGTAGCGCCATCAATCGAACACCTGGAGCATCCAGAAGGAACTACTGTGCACGATTCTGAAACCAGCACTATACTAGCCATCACGAAGCATAAATCAAGCGACACCAAGCATTGCATACAAAGAAGCCTAAACAAGTCACTTAGGCAAAAGTCGAATCAAGTAAAAGTGCGGAGTCAAAGGAGCAAAGAAGCGAACGAGCATATGCAATTATATTGTGGCTAAATCACCTCAAGCCTATTTTTCCAGAGTAGATGGAAACAAACTCAAGATCCAGAGTTATGAACGTAATGGGGGTATCGATGAAACAACAAGGAAAAAAAGTCTCCGTCCTAGTAAGGTCCGCTGTACAAAGGAGAACGATCAAAGGTAAAATGGTAGGACAGGCATGTGGATACAGCCGTCAGGAGAGAAGGAGAACGGATCAAGGAAGTGTGTAAAGACTTGAAACATGGGAGCGAGGATCATTCGTTCAAGCATTGCCACAGCTCCTCCTCGTTCAGCGTCTTGAGAACTGGCTCGCGAGGAAGTTGTGGCTCTGGCCCGAATCCAAATATGGGTCCGGCCTGATTGATGCCTGGTGGTCGTAGCGTTGACATGCGCTTCTTGTCAATTTTGATTTGGTCCATTGGTGCAGACACGGTGACTGTAGGCGTAGGGGTTGACCCCCACTTGCCAAACACCCATCCGCCTACTCTTTGGCCAAGACCTCTAGGCGGTGTACTAGAAGCCTTATGTTCAGCCGCCACTCCTTCCAATATACTACGGCTACTGCTTGATGTTCGTGACGTTAATGCAGGCCTAGCAGCATGTGCCAAGGATAGAGTGGCTGTGACGGAGGCTTGTGATGAGAAGGACCTCGAACTTTGTGCTGTCAACAACTGTGACGGACGAGATTGAAGGGTGTGAATGTCCATGCCAGACACGGATATTAAGGATTCATGCGAAGCAGCCCGGCGATGCCGAGGGCGCGTGTAAATGCTCTCGTCCAGGATTGTTGGCCTGGTATAAGCCGAGATCTCAGTGTCGTCAATGAAAGAAGGCATATGAGCACGACCTTCATCAGCTGCTGGCATAGGAGAATCCAGATGATTCCCTTCGTCTTCTTCAAGAATTGCACCATGACCTCCTGTAACTGCTTGATCATCAGCCCGTCCTTGACCGTCAGCAGAAAAGTCGTAGGATGGCTGATCATAATCTTCATAACGATCTGAAGTGCCATCGCGAAAGGC